AGCTTCTGTATAACCTGTAAATCACTTGTCCTCACAATGGACAAATGAGCCAAAGGACCTCCCTCTCCCCTCATCCCTTCCCCCACCCCTCTGGCTGAGGTAAAAGGCTAGATAAATAAGGCATGGCTGTGGGGTCACTGAGGCGTGACCTTTCGGCCCATTTGCTGTGGCACTGCAGCAGGAGGACAGGAGTGCAGCCTCAGCCCTGCTCTGCTGCCCACTCCTCTAGCTCCTCCAGCCCTGCTGCTGCAGACCATGAATTTTAATCAGCGCTGCGCTAGGATGGCTGGGGCAGTGCATCAAGCTTAACGAGGCTGAGAGAAGCCTTTCATTTACCCATACGCTGGTAACAAATGGACCGGGCCCCTCGCAAGACAACCCCCCTCCCTTGCTGTGCTTCAATCTCTCACTATCATGACACACTGTCTGTCTCCTTCCCTCCAGCTCATGCCAACTCTGTCTCTTCCCCTCTGTGTTAGCATGCTCCCTCACTCCTCTCCTCCCTCCCCACTCTCACGTCCTCCCTCTGTCTTCCTCCCGTCTCTGCCTGTCTTTCATCCCACCTGTCTTCTGGTCTCATCCTCTTCCGCCTCCCTCAGTCTCTCGTCATCTACTCCTCTAGCCTTTCAGCCTCTTCCCTCTCCTACCTCTTCTCCTTGTCTTAACCAACAGTGCCTCTCTATCAGTCACACACCCTCCCTCTACACTTATTCCCCTATGCTTTATATCTTGCTTTCTCTCCACAGACCCTATTTCCCTCTTTCTTCCCTCCCTCCTCACCATCTCTCCTTCCTTCCTTCTACCAGCTCCCTTTCCTCGCTCCTGCTCTCCCCCTACCTGCCTTTCCCTCTCCTCTGCTCGAGGTGTGAGTTGTCCTCCCAGGCAGAGTTCAGCTCCATCACTCCTCTGCTCCACAGGTCTCATTAGGGATGGGCCAGGGGAGGAGGGAACATTTTAATAAATAGATGAATGTGACACTGCCTCAACAGTGGGTACACACACACACACACACACACACACACACACACACACACACACACACACACACACACAAATGCATACACGCGCAAACACACACAAATTAACACACACTCGCACACGTCTTTGGGGATCTTGAGAAAGATTAAGCCAGGGATGAGCCCGGCACTCACGGAATAAAACCCTTTCACTTGATTATTTCAAGTCAAATGAATCACCGCGCTCAGACACACACTCCAACCTCACTTGAATAATAGCAACACAAAGTCTCTGTGGCAACACAAACACACTGATAACAGCGCACCTAATCTGAAAATGGGATACACACATACTCTCTCGCACACACACCCAACCTACCTACCTCTGCTGCACTGTGCATAAGTCTTGCTTCATTAAAGCCTAATCTCATCCACTATCACTTCACAACCACAGAAGTCGTTTGAACCACCAGGGAAATACAATTCCATTTCAGGGTTATCTTAATACATGAGCTTGTCTCCCCCTCACTGGTCTGTTGTTATGAGCCAGGCAAACACCCACAATAGCACAATATTGCTCCTGCTCCTTCGCACCACGGATTGGAGCTCACAAAGTAATTAGCAGTTAATGTGTGTGTGTGTGCGTGTTTCAGTGTGTACGTGTGTGTATGTGTCTACGTGTTAGTGTGTTTGTGTATTGGTGTGTAGGTGTGCGCTCAACTCCCTGGTCTAATTCATTCCATTTTCGAATTTCTCCATCCGTTGTTAGCAGCCGGTTTATTTCACATATCTAGGGGAGAACGTGACTGTATGCTGCAGACTATCCTCTCAGAGCACTATGGTGGAATGAGCCTAACGCCTACTTTTTACTCCGAAACTAAACAGACACACTGGGAAAAAGTAATATGTTTGTTGTCAAAACAAAGTTTTATGTGATTTATTTTGTCAAGATCCGTCAATAAACCAGACAGATCTGTACAAGAGGATCAATGTATTTTCTGTCTAGTTCTCCTTCTCTCACTCCATCTGACTTGTCCCATCTCTCTGTCACCTGATCATCTCTGTCACCTGATCATCCCTCTCTTCATCTAGCTATTATCCCATCCGTCTCCTCTTCCATCTCTCCCCTGAGGCCTGTTTTTTTTCACTTGTCACAGGAGAGGCAGGGTTCATGGAGTAGAGGACTTATCATACGCGTTGTAATGTGTATGTATGTGTAACAGAGTCAGATCGTACCGGATAGTCACCCACAGCTTGAAATGGCGCCATTGAATCATATTTTTCAGTGGCACAACTGGTTAGTACGTTGTCAAGCATGGCGGTGAGGTAGATGTGTTGGTGTGGCAGGGAGCACGAGATCAAGCATGTTGTGGGAGAGGAAACAATACCGCTCAGCAGTACAGTGAAGCCTGTTACATACTGTACAGAAATAGACCAAAGGGATATGATATGACCTTGTATACATTGATTGGTGAGTGTACAGACAGTGTTGTACAATAGTATAATGTTGTATCAATAGTATGCTATTGAAAATATCAGCCATGTGGATGCGACAGTGTATTAGTAGATATGCTGAGTGTACGTATGTGAACACATTGGGGGCAGACGAGCGTGTGCGCGTTTATAATCCATCTCCAGGCTTTGCCATTGGAGTTGTCAGGGTTTACACTGCTGTCTGGAAAACCAAAGGCAAATTCTAAGCCATCCCATTTCACAACCACTCCCCTCCCCTCTCCTCTCCCCTCCTCAACTCCCCCCTCTCAGCAGAGAAAAGAGAACGCTCAGGCTCCTCCCCTCCTCTTTCCTCCCCTCTCCTCCCTCTTTCATCTCCCCTCTCCTCATCTCCTCCTCTTTCCCCTCCCCTCCCTCTTTCTCCTCCCCTCCTCCTCCTCCTTCTCTCCCCTCCTTTTTCCTCCCCTCCCCTCTTTCTCTCCCTCTTCTTCCTGCTGCAGGGCAGAGCAGAGCAGAGGACATCAATCGTAAGGCCGGCTCCTCCTCATCTTTAGCTGTGGCGGGCTGACACAGAGCTTGTCACCCAGTTTACAGCACTGACCTGCCGGCTCATCTCACACTCCCATAAAGAGAGAGTGAGTGATGGGGTGGCATGGGAAAGAGGGAGGAGGGGAAGGAGGGAGAGAGCGACAGACTTATACAGCATGCATGACAATAGCACACGCCTCTCCACATCTATCCCTCTATCTCTCCCCGACGGTCTCATCCGCGTACAGCGCCTACACACACACACACACACACACACACACACACGGTTACATAGACTCAAGGGAAGCTAGGACATGAGTATGTAAAGTAAAGAAGCCAGCTCAGATGAATTCAAGACTTTTCTCTCCTCAAAGACAGTCTTGTTGGTATTATAAATGAGAACAAACAACAATTTCAAGGACAAGGCTTAGTAAGAGGAAGTGTGACTAAACCATATGTATAGAAATACTCATTCATGTGGTTTGTGATGACACACACACACCTTGATCTTGACGGCAGTCTCTGCCATCGTTGTAGTGTCTGGAAGGCATACTCAGAGGCTGTTGTGAAAACAGTACTATATCAGAATGTTATGCAAACAGTATTATATCAGAATGTCATATTGTCTACTCTCTGGCCTCTAAACCCCATACACCCAAGTTAGCTGACCCTCTGAACTCTCTCCCCCCCCTTTCCCTCCCACTAGGCTAGCCCTGCCTGTGACCACTCAGATGTCCATCTCCTACATGCTCCTCTCTACACCACTAATACCAGGGATCACTCCATCCTATCCCAAATGGCCCCCTATTCCCCATATAGGAATGAGCCCTAGTCACAAGTAGTGTACTAAACATGGAATAGGGTACCATTTGGGGCACAATCGTAGCTACTGTAGTCTGGACGGTGTGTAAGCTAATGGACAGACGTAGCTGGGACACCTGGCAGATGATGACTGATAGACTGTGGTGTGGAAACAGCTTCTCTACAGACTTCAGGGTGATGGGAGTCCTGATAGGTGTCCTTCTGGGCTACAACCTCAGTCAACAGAGACAAATCCTTTTAAAATACACACCATTAGCCCAGAGGACCGAGGAGATTACATCTGTACTCACAGAGAGGAAGCACACTAAGACCAAGTCAAACACAACTAGAACTGACAGTGCCAATAGGAAGGTTATACACTAGAGGTATCCTGGCAGTTACAGCACAGTAGGATGAGATGTGTGTAGGGGATTTAACATCAAGTAGAGACTTTGATCATGTGTGGATGAGATGTAAATAGGGCTGAGTGCAGCAGTTTCAAACAGGTGTTTAACCAGTCAATCGTTGGCAGACATGGTCACCACACACACACACACCACTAATGAGAACTCAGTAGATATTGAAAGACAACAAGGCTTTTACAATGCAAAATAGCTGTATTTTATGTTGAGTTGAGAGACTAAACATTTGTTTGTGTTGTGACAGTCATGTAGGAGTGAATTCTAATTCCACCAATGAGGAAAGTAGTCCTGAAAGGGTTGGAGTAAAAACAGTGTTTTTTTTTTTTGGTGTGTCGTTTTTCTTAGAGAAAAAGGTTGGACATTTTGAACATTAAAACGTGTTCATCTCCATCTTGTTTCTTGCAAAAATCACTTTTCTTTTTGCCCTTCGGCGAGAAAAATGCTTCAATGTTCTTCTTTTGTACAAGATGGATGTCAAACATGAACTACAGGGGTGTTTTTCTGCTCAGGGAAGATGGAGGGGACATGGTGGCACTTCCTCATTACCCAAAACTGTCTCTTCAACCATTGTCTTTTTTGTTAGTTTTTCTGATTTCATACATAAAGCTTGGCTTTTAACACAATGCTACAAGAAAGGAGGTCTTTAAAAAAATTAAATGTAAAAAAACAAAAACAATGTACAACTTCTACCTCCCTCCCTCCCTCTCTACCCAAACACTCTGTTCTCTACAGGTGTACAGGGTAAGACAAGGCAGTCACTGGTCAATGTCCATATTCAGTTGATAACAGTTATAAGGGTGGATCATCCCTTTGTCATCGTCTTTGTACCAAATCCATACCATCCCCCCTGTCTTTTCAGCTGAGGGAGGAGGGAGGGAGGAGCTCTGGTATCAATCTGGGCGTCTCTAGGTTCTGGAGGAGGCCTGGAGGAGGAGGAGATCAGAGTAGGGCCCTCTGTGGTCCCAGGGCAGAGCAGAGCTGGGCAAGGGATCCAGGGACACTAGGACTGTTTGAGGCGTTTGCGTGGGGGGCCCAGGAAGGGGCACTGGGCCGAGGCCAGGGAGCGATAGGCCTCAGCCACCAGGTGGGGGTGGGATGCCACCATGGACTTCCAGCCAGACGTCTCCATCACCTCAGCAGCATGGCTAGAGAGAGCGAGAGAGAGAGGGGGGAGGGAGGGAGATGGAGAGAGAGAGTTGGGAGGGGGAGAGAGAGAGGGAGGGAGAGACAAAGGGAAAAAAGTCAGAAGGAGAGGAGGAAAGAGTGAGGCAGAGCGCGAGAAGGAGAGATATTAGCACTGTCCCTCTCCTGGCCCCTCCATCCTCCACAGGCCTGACAGACTGCACACCACTAGGCCCTGTGGGAATCCCCAGCCTCCTCACACCCTCAGGGTGCTGTACTGCACTATCACGCACACACATACATGGCCTTTAATGACATTTGTTATGTGTATTAGTGTGTGTTAATGAAAGTGTGTGTCTCTGTGTCTAGGAGCATACCTCCCAGACATCCAGCCCACCTCTGACCCAGTTCCCTGGTAGGGACATGAACCCCCTTGCTCCCTCTAACGGCCAATGAGCTGTGAGCTATGAGCTGTGCCTGGGGTAGCAGACCAGCAAAGGGCACTGAGAGAGCAGCCACAGCTGGAGAGCAGGCCATGCCCAGGGGACTGGGGGAGAGGAGAGGAGGGAGAGAGAAGGGAGGGGGAGATGAAGGAGAAGGTGAGAGGAGGGAGGGAGGGAGGAGAAGATAGGTGGGGGCTAACTGTGGTGTTGATGGCAGGGCGGTCTGGGGTTTATTGGTTACACTTTGTAGTTTATTTTCTATATTCGTCCTCTTTTATTGATTTTAGTTGTTATCGATGTTGTCCGAGGGAGGATGGTTGATAGCGCTTTGCAAGCCAGAGTCCCCCGTGGTCAATTTCCACAACAACAATACTGTCACAAATTAAAATGTCATAAAACCCATAACCATAATTAATGACCAGGATTAGGAAGAGAGAGAGAGAGAGAGAGCGAGAGGAGAGAGGAGAAGAGGACAGAGGAGTAGGAGACATTGAGGTTGGAGCGTGAGGTAACGGGGGAGAGAGTGACTGAGAAAGGAAAAACCGACTCAAAGATAGAGAAAGAAAAGAGAGTGGATGTGTGCAGGGGTAGGGACTGAAGGGAGTAAATAATATAGATCTTAGTCATCAAAAAGAAAGGAGGACCAAGTCCCTCTTCATATAATTAATTAAAATGCCTTTATTTGTATGGCAAGTTCAATGGATGGCCTTCGTCAGTGTTGACTAAAGGGAACAGTAATGTAGTGTTCACATTAATGTTGACGAATCATAAACAACCAGCACATTGAGCAGCAACCTAATGCCGTTTATGGCCTCTGTCAGAGAATCGCTCTAGTTAAAGGGATACTTCGGGACTTTGGCAATGAGGTCCTTTATCTACTTCCCCAAAGTCAGATGAAATCGTGGACACCATTTTTACATCTCTGTGTCCAGTATGAAGGAAGCTAGAGGTGGTTTTGCGAGCCAATGCTAACTAGCATTAGCGCAATGCCTGGAAGTCTATAGGTATCTGCTAGCATGCTACCTCTAACTTCCTTCATACTGGACACAGCGATCTAACAATGGTATCCACAAATTCATCTGACTCTGGGGAAGTAGATAAAGGGCCTCATTGCCAAAATCCCAAAGTATCCCTTTAATCCCTGACAAACAAGTTCAGATTTGTCAAAACATGTTTTCTGCTAAATTGCCCCTGTTCATATGGCATAAAATTGGTCTGAGAAGTAAAATGCTATTTCCAAAAAGAGTAATCGAGCTCCCAGTGAAAATTAATGACGATATTTCTGTTCAAATGCCAAAGACTGTCTGACAGAGTTACTGTGTGCGTGTGTGTTAGGTATATAGTGAGTGTTTTGAGTGAGGGGTACAGTAACGGTGAGTGTGTTTGAGTGAGGAGTATAGAATGAGAGAGGGGTGCAGTGTGTGTGTATGTGTGTGTGTGCCACTCACTAGTTGATGAAGTCCACAGCCTGTGTTTTGAGCTGGTCGGCACTGTGCAGGTCTGCCAGGATGAGGATCTCTGCAGTGTTCTCCACAGACAGACTGGTGCACAGAGCATCCTCACACATCACCTTGAGCCTCTCCAGAGCATACTGACATAGAGAGATGGGGGGGAGAGAGAACTCATTTATTTGTACTTGCTATCTATCACCATTTACAATAGGAAATGTTGGACTGTGTAATGCTTTCGTAACATCAAATTGCTCCTGTCACGTCAATGAAGCTAGTTTGACTTTGAGAGAGAGGGAGAGAGGGTTTGAAAAGGAGTGATGACAGTGAGTGGTGGAGGTGGAGGAGAGGAGCGGAGCGCAGGAACCAGGGAGAGAGATAGAGCAGAGATCATGGTAGTGTGTAAACACTGAAAGGTGATTTATCTGACATCCTGTTAAGCCCTGGGTGTCCAACTCAATACACCACGGTACAGTACACCCACAGTGTAGACAAATACACACAACTCTGAGGCAGAAAGTCACTCACAAAAGGCCTGGCCACCGTCCACACACTAACAGATAGGTGAGTGTGTCCTTGCGTGCAAATGGGCACACCACATATACAGTGGGGGAAAAAAGTATTTAGTCAGCCACCAATTGTGCAAGTTCTCCCACTTAAAAAGATGAGAGAGGCCTGTAATTTTCATCATAGGTACACGTCAACTATGACAGACAAATTGAGGAAAAAAAATCACATTGTAGGATTTTTAATGAATTTATTTGCAAATTATGGTGGAAAATAAGTATTTGGTCACCTACAAACAAGCAAGATTTCTGGCTCTCACAGACCTGTAACTTCTTCTTTAAGAGGCTCCTCTGTCCTCCACTCGTTACCTGTATTAATGGCACCTGTTTGAACTTGTTATCAGTATAAAAGACACCTGTCCACAACCTCAAACAGTCACACTTCAAACTCCACTATGGCCAAGACCAAAGAGCTGTCAAAGGACACCAGAAACAAAATTGTAGACCTGCACCAGGCTTGGAAGACTGAATCTGCAATAAGTAAGCAGCTTGGTTTGAAGAAATCAACTGTGGGAGCAATTATTAGGAAATGGAAGACATACAAGACCACTGATAATCTCCCTCGATCTGGGGCTCCACGCAAGATCTCACCCCGTGGGGTCAAAATGATCACAAGAACGGTGAGCAAAAATCCTAGACCCACACGGGGGGACCTAGTGAATGACCTGCAGAGAGCTGGGACCAAAGTAACAAAGCCTACCATCAGTAACACACTACGCCGCCAGGGACTCAAATCCTGCAGTGCCAGACGTGTCCCCCTGCTTAAGCCAGTACATGTCCAGGCCCGTCTGAAATTTGCTAGAGTGCATTTGGATGATCCAGAAGAGGATTGGGAGAATGTCATATGGTCAGATGAAACCAAAATATAACTTTTTTTGGTAAAAACTCAACTCGTCGTGTTTGGAGGACAAAGAATGCTGAGTTGCATCCAAAGAACACCATACCTACTGTGAAGCATGGGGGAGAAACATCATGCTTTGGGGCTGTTTTTCTGCAAAGGGACCAGACATGATCCGTGAAAGGAAAGAATGAATGGGACCTGTATGTGAGATTTGAGTGAAAACCTCCTTCCATTCAGCAAGGGCATTGAAGATGAAACGTGGCGTCTTTCAGCATTTACAATGATCCAACACACCGCCAGGGCAACGGAGAAGTGCTTCGTAAGAAGCATTTCAAGGTCCTGGAGTGGCCTATCCAGTCTCCAGATCTCAACCCCATAGAAAATCTTTGGGAGGGAGTTGAAAGTCTGTTTGCCCAGCGACAGCCCCAAACATCACTGCTCTAGAGGAGATCTGCAGGAGGAATGGGCCAAAATACAGCAACAGTTGTGAAACCTTGTGAAGACTTACAGAAAACGTTTGACTGGTCTTGCAACAAAGGGTATATAACAAAGTATTGAGAAACTTTTGTTATTGACCAAATACTTATTTTCCACCATAATTTGCAAATAAATTCATTAAAAATCCTACAATGTGATTTTCTGGAAAAAAAATTCTCATTTTGTCTGTCATAGTTGACGTGTACCTATGATGAAAATTACAGGCCTCTCTGTAATTGTACATTACATTACCAAAAGTATGTAGACACTTGCACGTCACACATATCATTCCAAAACCATGGGCATTAATATGGAGTTGGTCCCCCCTTTGCTGCTATAACAGCCTCCACTCTTCTGGGAAAGCTTTCCACTAGATGTTGGAACATTGCTGCGGGGACTTGCTTCCATTCAGCCACAAGAGCATTAGTGAGGTCGGGCACCGATGTTGGGCGATTAGGCCTGGCTCGCAGTCAGCGTTCCAATTCATCCCAAAGGTGTTCAATGGGGTTGAGGTCAGGGCTCTGTGCAGGCCAGTCAAGTTCTTCCACACTGATCTCGACAAAACATTTTTGTATGAACCTCGCTTTGTGCATTGTCATGCTGAAACAGGAAAGTGCCTTCCACAAACTGTTGCCACAAAGTTGGAAGCACAGAATCGTTTAGAATGTCTTTGCATGCTGTAGCGTTAAGATTTCCCTTCACTGGAACTAAGGGGCCTATCCCGAACCATGAAAAACAGCCCCAGACCATTATTCCACCTCCACCAAACTTTACAGCTGGCACTATGCATTGGGGCAGATCGCGTTCTCCTGGCATCCGCCAAACCCAGGACAACCATCTCTGCAGCACTCGACCAATCAGACCTTTATGGTAGAGTGGCCAGACGGAAGCCACTCCTCAGTAAAAGGCACATGACAGCCAGTTTGGAGTTTGCCAAAAGGCACCTAAAGGATTCTCAGACCAAGAGAAACAAGATTCTCTCGTCTGATGAAACCAAGATTGAACTCGTTGGCCTGAATGCCAATTGTCACGTCTGGAGGAAACCTGGCACCATCCCTACGGTGAAGCATGGTGGTGGCACCATCATGCTGTGGGGATGTATTTCAGCGGCAGGGACTGGGAGACTAGTCAGGATCGAGGGAAAGATGAACGGAGCAAAGTACAGAGAGATCCTTGATTAAAACCTGCTCCAGAGCGCTAAGGACCTCAGACTGGGGCGAAGGTTCACCTTCCAACAGGACAACGACCCTAAGCACACAGCCAAGACAACACAGGAGTGGCTTCAGGACAAGTCTCTGAATGTCCTTGAGTGGCCCAGCCAGAGCACAGACTTGAACCTGATCGAACATCTCTGGAGAGACCTGAAAATAGCTGTGCAGCGGCGCACCCCATCCAACCTGACAGAGCTTGAGAGGATCTGCAGAGAAGACTGGGAGAAACTCCCCAAATACAGGTGTGACAAGCTGGTAGCGTCATACCAAAGAAGACTCGAGGCTGTAATCATTGCCAAAGATGCTTCAACAAAGTACTGAGTAAAGGGTCTGAATAATGTAAATGTCATATTTCATTATTAATCTTTTGAATAAATATGGAAACATTTCTAAAAACCTGCTTTTGCTTTGTCATTATGGGGTATTGTGTGTATATTGATGAGGGGGAAAAAACAATTTAACCCATTTTAGAATAAGGCTGTAACGTAACAGAATGTGGAATAAGTCAAGGGTCTGAATACTTTTGGAAAGTCTGAATACTTTCCAAAAGCACTGTATAGTGTACGTACCCACACACACACAAAGCTCCACAACATTGCTAATCTTCAGATTGCGGCCAGGAGGACTGAGGCTGGCGATTCAGATGTGTGTGTGTGTGGATTACATAAGAGCTGTACTATTGCCAGAGAGGCTGCTGGGATAGCATCAGAGGGGTAAGGACCTTAGTGAGACTTGGCCTTGGCCTCCTCTTATTCCAGCAGCTGCCTACAGTTACACACATGCACCTTTATTAAATAAATCACACACACACACTGCATGAGAAAAGAGAGGGAAGGAAATTAATGGAAGGAGAGAGGAGGAGTGGATGAATGCAGAGTGAAGACGAGGGAGTGTCACAATAGGAATCCTTGAGGAGCGAAGGGCAGCACTTAACACAAACAATGTGTGTGTGTGTGTGTGTGTGTGTGTGTGTGTGTGTGTGTGTGCGCGCGCACCCCGCTTCAACAGATCTGAGGTCCTAGCAATTATTCAAAAATGTTGACAGAAAACCGAGGAATTTATGGAGGTTGAATTCTGCCACATTCAGTTAATTTATTTTTGGTAGAAATTGAACTCCATAAAAAGTCAGTTAGATTTCACAACACACACTGAGTCACATACACCTCACACAGACATAGCGTCCTTCTGCACACAGAACCACCACATATGGTACATACAGTGGGGAGAACAAGTATTTGATACACTGCCGATTTTGCAGGTTTTCCTACTTACAAAGCATGTAGAGGTCTGTAATTTTTATCCTAGGTACACTTCAACTGTGAGAGACGGAATCTAAAAAATCCAGAAAATCACATTGTATGATTTTTAAGTAATTAATTTGCATTTTATTGCATGACATAAGTATTTGATCACCTACCAACCAGTAAGAATTCCGGCTCTCACAGACCTGTTAGTTTTTCTTTAAGAAGCCCTCCTGTTCTCCACTCATTACCTGTATTAACTGCACCTGTTTGAACTCGTTACCTGTATAAAAGACACATGTCCACACACTCAATCAAACAGACTCCAACCTCTCCACAATGGCCAAGACCAGAGAGCTGTGTAAGGACATCAGGGATAAAATTGTAGACCTGCACAAGGCTGGGATGGGCTACAGGACAATAGGCAAGCAGCTTGGTGAGAAGGCAACAACTGTTGACGCAATTATTAGAAAATGGAAGAAGTTCAAGATGACGGTCAATCACCCTCGGTCTGGGGCTCCATGCAAGATCTCACCTCGTGGGGCATCAATGATCATGAGGAAGGTGAGGGATCAGCCCAGAACTACACGGCAGGACCTGGTCAATGACCTGAAGAGAGCTGGGACCACAGTCTCAAAGAAAACCATTAGTAACACAGTACGCCGTCATGGATTAAAATCCCGCAGCGCACACAAGGTCCCTCTGCTCAAGCCAGCGCATGTCCAGGCCCGTCTGAAGTTTGCCAATGACCATCTGGATGATCCAGAGGAGGAATGAGAGAAGGTCATGTGGTCTGATGAGACAAAAATAGAGCTTTTTGGTCTAAACTCCACTCGCCGTGTTTGGAGGAAGAAGAAGGATGAGTACAACCCCAAGAACACCATCCCAACCGTGAAGCATGGAGGTGGAAACATCATTCTTTGGGGATGCTTTTCTGCAAAGGGGACAGGACGACTGCACCGTATTGAGGGGAGGATGGATGGGGCCATGTATCGCGAGATCTTGGCCAACAACCTCCTTCCCTCAGTAAGAGCATTGAAGATGGGTCGTGGCTGGGTCTTCCAGCATGACAACGACCCGAAACACACAAACAGGGCAACTAAGGAGTGGCTCCGTAAGAAGCATCTCAAGGTCCTGGAGTGGCCTAGCCAGTCTCCAGACCTGAACCCAATAGAACATCTTTGGAGGGAGCTGAAAGTCCGTATTGTGGGCCAAAATCCCTGCTGCAGTGTGTGCAAACCTGGTCAAGACCTACAGGAAACGTATGATCTCTGTAATTGCAAACAAAGGTTTCTGTACCAAATATTAAGTTCTGCTTTTCTGATGTATCAAATAGTTATGTCATGCAATAAAATGCAAATTAATTACTTAAAAATCATACAATGTGATTTTCTGGATTTTTGTTTTAGATTCCATCTCTCACAGTTGAAGTGTACCTATGATAAAATTTACAGACCTCTACATGCTTTGTAAGTAGGAAAACCTGCAAAATCGGCAGTGTATTAAATACTTGTTCTCCCCACTGTAGCATAATTCTGCACCACACACAGGACCACTACATATGGTACCATCATTCTGCATACAGGACCACTACATATGGTACCATCATTCTGCACACAGGACCACTACATATGGTACCATCATTCTGCACACAGGACTACTACACGGTATATAGCATCATTCTGCACACATGACCACTACATATGGTACCATCATTCTGCACCACACACAGGACCACTACATATGGTACCATCATTCTGCACCACACACAGGACCACTACATATGGTACACATAGCATCACATACACCTCACACACATGAACATAACATACTGTACGTAAGGGAACGTTATAACATATGATATACTCAATCACTCATCCATAAAATATGATATCAGATACGGTATACACACACCTCCTCATTCCTCCACCACCCACACTAACCTTGTCAGCTGCAGCCAGCAGGTCGTCAGCCATCTTGTCCAGGTTGGGGGCTTTGCCCGTGTAGATGAAGCACATCATCTCTTTGAACACCTCGGGCTCCACATCGTTGATCTCCACACGGTTCTGGAGGAGGAGAAGAGAAGGAGGGAGAGCAGAAGAGAGGGAGGAAGAAGAGAGGAGAGAAGAAGAGAACAGACCCAGGTCAGTGCTCAGAGCCTATATGCTGAGGAGTATTTGTCTGCAATAAAGCCCTTTTGTGGGGAAAAACTCATCATGTTTGTCTGGGCCTGGGAGGGCATAGGCCCACCCACTTGAGAGCCAGGCCCACCCATGGCTGCGCCCCTGCCCAGTCATGTGAAATCCATAGATTAGGGCCTAATGAATTTATTTAAATTGACCGATTTCCTTTTATGAACTGTAACTCTGTAAAAATTGTTGAAATTATTGTGTTTATATTTTTGTTCAGTATAGCTAATTTTACCATCTACTGTATCATTCATGTCACAAACCCACCATGTCTAACCCCATAAAACACACACACACCAAATAGTTGTGAGCAGACGAGCACACCAAAACACCTCTGAAACAGTCTGAACACGTTCAACCCCAAAATTGAAAACAACATTTGAGATATATATTTTTTCCCCCAGTCGATTCCTGGAATTAATCCGGAGCATTCGTTTCCAACGCACGGTGCCTGCAGCCAACGGCAGACGCTCTTTATCGCTCGTCGGCACGGTAACGGTAACCTGAACCCTTTTCGCCACGGCGACCTGAGGTATTTCAGCGGGGTCAGGCCGGGTATACAGACAGCTCATAGCACATTAATGTTCCACTCTGGACACTAACAACAAAACAGCACACTACAAATCACCCGATTACACATTAGCACAGACAAACACATACGTGTTTGTTTATCACCAACAAACACAAACACTCATGCTGTACAGAGAGTTCACACGTGATCTTTTATGGTCTATAGGCACACACTCACCTCATCACAGACACACACAGAGTCTACCAATACACACAAACAGGCACACAGCTTGGCTATTAGTGTGTTTCTTTACAAACTCATTCATCCTCCCTCTATAGACTGTTGAATCTATCTGTTTTCTCTATCATATGGAGACATATCCCTCTCCCCGATGAAGACGCCAACTTAAATAGCAATTAAGATGCATTTCCTAGCTGTGTGCTTTATAATTTCCCCATTTGAGCGGGGCATGCATTCAATATTCCGCTGACACGGCCTCTAAATCACTGAGGTTCAATCTCACCACTTCCCTATCAGATGAGCAGGACCCACCATGACACGGGGCTCTCACTCATGCACACACACACAATAATAAGCAACACTCAAACATATACCTAGCAAGGATCTATTTTGGTCAAACTCCCACAAATCCTACAGTTACAGCTCTTATAGTGAGCCTGCCAACTCCATGCAGACAGATGCAACATTCTGGAAGGGTACAGTAACCGTGTAGACACATCCCTGTCTGAACTAGTGATGATGCAACAGAGAGAAAGATATGTGAAAATCCTCCCCACCGAGACACATGAGTGTTCAGGTCACAACACCGTCTCCAACACTCACTCACCTTCTTGCTCTCCTCCATCTCATGCTCAAACATGGCACTGAACACTGGTGATCGGGCTGGGGGATGAGAGAGACATTAGATTTTATTTGTCACATGCGCCGAATACAACAGGTGTAGACCTTACAGTGAAATGCTTACTTACAAGCCCTTAACCAACAATGCAGTTGAAGAAATAGAGTAAAGAAAATATTTACTAAATAAAATAATGTAATTTTCTTTTTTTAAAAAAATAAAGAGTAACACAAAATAACAATAGAGGCTATATGCATGGGGTACCGGTACTGAGTCAATGTGCGGGGGTACAGGTTAATCGAGGCAATTTGTACATGGATGGGAGGGAGAGCGAGAGAGAGAGAGAGGGAGAGAGGGAGGAGGAGAGAGCAAGAGAGAGAATAGTTTAGTTGGCTGATGTGCTAAACACCCCCAAAGTCTCCCATCTGTCTGTCTGCCACAGAGGCAGTGGAAAGAAAGAAAATCCTCCTGTACACACCGTCCTGCTGCTGCTATTGCCTAGGCCTAATGAAGCCCTCTTCAGTGAGTTTGACAAGCAGCACCAGTTCTCACTGAAGACTAGCAGGGCCATGATCCAGGAGAAACAGGATGTGCCCCAAATGGAACCCTATTCCCTATATAGTGCACTATTTTTGACCAGGGTAGTGCACTAGGGAATAGGGTGCCATTTGGGACACACAGTATCTGCAATAATACCCCACTAAACCACAGTGTTGTTCAATTCATCAGAGAGGAGTCCCAGAGAGAGAGAGAGAGAGGAGAGAGGGAAATAGGGAAAAAGAGGAGGGAAAGAGAGGAGAGAGAGCACAATTAAAATGGCCCGATCCTATTTAGAAATATTGTTGTTAGTTTAAAAAACAGATTGATAGTTTTTCGCATTTTTAAAAAACGCATTAGAAAGATTCACCATCTATGGGTTTATGGCAGGGATGGGTAACTTTTATGGGGGTGGGGGGGCCACAAAAAATCTAAACTCATCATGATGGGCCGTAGTTGCCCCCACACACACACACACACACATTGCGAGTAGAACATTTTGGTGGCCCCCCTGTTGACAGTGGAAAGAAATGCTTTATGTTTTAGAGTTCATTTCGTGCAATTCTACACATTTTGCTATGGGGTGTAGAGAAAATGTTGCAGTTTAAAGGTGGTTGCTAAAATTCTAATAGTTCGCCTAATTTCAGTTTGTGACAAAACAAGCAGTGTGAAATATCTTTCAATAACCAAAAATATTGTATTTTCAGCTGGTGTACAAAACCAAAAGTAAAAGACGCAAAAACGAAACTTATGAACAGGAAGCATAGAAATAGCGCACATAACTCAGATTTCTATGTGAATTTGGTCAGGTCACCCAAAACTTTACATATTGCAGATTTAAAGCAAGTTTGCTGGAATTCTACTCATTTTGCCATGGGGCGGAGAGAAATGTTTGCCGTGCTTAACATGATATCTGAGTGAGATTGACTAACAAAATCAATGGGGGCCCCCGGGCCAGAAAATCGACCATGATAACAAGTTTAGATAGCTGGCCGCTAAACTAATTTAGCAATCTAAAAAAAACTTTGCTGACATGAGCTAATTGACTGACTATCAGTGACTGACAAAAGACAAAAACTGCTGATAAACACATTTCACCTTGCGTATTCTACTATAAGTTGAGACTCCAACTGCTATTTCTGCAGAAGTGCAAATATGATCTGTGAGATGGTTCCATTATGTTTATAAAACATTACATTTGTGAGCAGTATAGGGGTGAGTGGACATTCGCCCTTTCTCTTTATATTGGATCTTTATGCAGCTCCTTTAAAAAGTTTGGATGTGCGTAAAACCCTACATAGTCCAAGTTTCCTTGTCTGTATTATATGCCCACGAGGAGCAATTATGGTGCCTGGAACTATTTAGACATAGCTTATTTAAAACATGTTGCTGTTTAGTTAATTATTAGAATTTGATTCGAATTATACACTTTCTTTTTAGGCCTTATCAATAGCCTAGTGAATTTAATCTTGCTTATTGACTATGTTTGGCATGTCCAGGCTGCAATTTACAGTAGGCCTAGCCCCTATATCAGTGTGAATGCTATAGCCTATGTTTAATCATGTATTTCCATATTGAAGCAATGCAATTAAAACAATGTTCAAAATATTTAGCAAATATGGGGCAGGCTATTTATCAAATCAAATCAAATTTTATTGGTCACATGCGCCGAATACAACAGGTGCAGACATTACAGTGAAATGCTTACTTACAGCCCTTAACCAACAGTGCATTTATTTTAAACAGAAAAAGTAAGAATAAAACAACAACAAAAAAAGTGTTGAGAAAAAAAAGAGCAGAAGTAAAATAAAGTGACAGTAGGGAGGCTATATATACAGTAAAATAAAGTGACAGTAGGGAGGCTATATATACAGGGGGGTACCGTTGCAGAGTCAATGTGCGGGGGCACCGGCTAGTTGAGGTAGTTGAGGTAATATGTACATGTGGGTAGAGTTAAAGTGACTATGCATAAATAATTAACAGAGTAGCAGCAGCGTAAAAAGGATGGGGTGGGGGGGCAGTGCAAACAGTCCGGGTAGCCATGATTAGCTGTTCAGGAGTCTTATGGCTTGGGGGTAGAAGCTGTTGAGAAGTCTTTTGGACCTAGACTTGGCACTCCGGTACCGCTTGCCGTGCGGTAGCAGAGAGAACAGTCTATGACTAGGGTGGCTGGAGTCTTTGACAATTTTGAGGGCCTTCCTCTGACACCGCCTGGTATAGAGGTCCTGGATGGCAGGGAGCTTTGCCCCAGTGATGTACTGGGCCGTACGCACTACCCTCTGTAGTGCCTTGCGGTCAGAGGCCAAGCAGTTGCCATACCAGGCGGTGATGCAACCAGTCAGGATGCTCTCGATGGTGCAGCTGTAGAATTTTTTGAGGATCTGAGGACCCATGCCAAATCTTTTTAGTCTCCTGAGGGGGAATAGGCTTTGTCGTGCCCTCTTCACGACTGTCTTGGTGTGTTTGGACCATGATAGTTCGTTGGTGATGTGGACACCAAGGAACTTGAAGCTCTCAACCTGTTCCACTACAGCCCCGTCGATGAGAATGGGGGCGTGCTCAGTCCTCTTTTTTTTCCTGTAGTCCACAATCATCTCCTTTGTCTTGGTCACGTTGAGGGAGAGGTTGTTGTCCTGGCACCACACGGCCAGATCTCTGACCTCCTCCCTATAGGCTGTCTCATCGTTGTCGGTGATCAGGCCTACCACTGTTGTGTCGTCGGCAAACTTAATGATGGTGTTGGAGTCGTGTCTGGCCATGCAGTCATGGGTGAACAGAGAGTACAGGAGGGGACTGAGCACGCACCCCTGAGGGGCCCCCGTGTTGAGGATCAGTGTGGCAGATGTGTTGTTACCTACCCTTACCACCTGGGGTCGGCCCGTCAGGAAGTCCAGGATCCAGTTGCAGAGGGAGGTGTTTAGTCCCAGGATCCTTAGCTTAGTGATGAGCTTAGAGGGCACTATGGTGTTGAATGCTGAGCTGTAGTCAATGAATAGCATTCTCACGTAGGTGTTCCTCTTGTCCAGGTGGGAAAGGGCAGTGTGGAGTGCGATAGAGATTGCATCATCTGTGGATCTGTTGGGGCGGTATGCAAATTGGAGTGGGTCTAGGGTTTCTGGGATTATGCTGTTGATGTGAGCCATGACCAGTCTTTCAAAGCACTTCATGGCTACAGACGTCAGTGCTACGGGTCGGTAGTCATTTAGGCAGGTTATCTTAGAGTCCTTGGGCACGGGGACTATGGTGGTCTGCTTGAAACATGTTGGTATTACAGACTCAGTCAGGGACATGTTGAAAATGTCAGTGAAGACACTTGCCAGTTGGTCAGCACATGCTCGGAGTACACGTCCTGGTAATCCGTCTGGCCCTGCGGCCTTGTGAATGTTGACCTGCTTAAAAGTCTTACTCACATCGGCTACGGAGAGCGTGATCACATAGTCATCCGGAACAGCTGGTGCTCTCATGCATGCTTCAGTGTTGCTTGCCTCGAAGCGAGCATAGAAGTGGTTTAGCTCGTCTGGTAGGCTTGTGTCACTGGGCAGCTCGCGGCTGTGCTTCCCTTTGTAGTCTGTAATAGTTTTCAAGCCCTGCCACATCCGACGAGCGTCAGAGCCAGTGTAGTATGATTCAATCTTAGACCTGTATTGACTCTTTGCCTGTTTGATGGTTCGTCGGAGGTCATAGCGGGATTTCTTATAAGCGTCCGGGTTAGAGTCCCGTTCCTTGAAAGCGGCAGCTCTACCCTTTAGCTCAGTGCGGATGTTTCCTGTAATCCATGGCTTCTGGTTGGGGTATGTACGTACGGTCACTGTGGGGACGACATCATCGATGCACTTATTGATGAAGCCAGTGACTGATGTGGTGTACTCCTCAATGCTGTCTGAAGAATCCCGGAACATGTTCCAGTCTGTGCTAGCAAAACAGTCCTGTAGCTTAGCATCTGCGTCATCTGACCACTTTTTTATTAACCGAATCACTGGTGCTTCCTGCTTCAGTTTTTGCTTATAAGCAGGAATCAGGAGGATAGAGTTATGGTCAGATTTGCCAAATGGAGGGCGAAGGAGAGCTTTGTATGCGTCTCTGTGTGTGGAGTAAAGGTGGTCTAGAGTTTTTTTCCCTCTGGTTGCACATTTAACATGCTGGTAGAAATTAGGTAGAACGGATTTAAGTTTCCCTGCATTAAAGTCCCCGGCCACTAGGAGCGCTGCATCTGGATGAGCGTTTTCCTGTTGATTAATGGCCTTGTACAACTCATTCAGTGCAATCTTAATGCCAGCATTGGTTTGTGGTGGTAAATAGACAGCTATGAAAAATATAGATGAAAACTCTCTTGGTAAATAGTGTGGTCTACAGCTTATCATAAGATACTCTACCTCAGGCGAGCAAAACCTCGAGACTTCCTTAGTATTTGATTTTGTGCACCAGCTGTTGTTTACAAATATACAAAGACCGCCACCCCTTGTCTTACCAGAGTCAGACGTTCTGTCCTGCCGATGTAGCGTATAGCCTGCTAGCTGAATGTTATCATTGTTGTCGTTCAGCCACGACTCCGTGAAACATAAGATATTACAGTTTTTAATGTCCCGTTGGTAGGATAACCGTAATCTTAAATCGTCCATTTTATTCTCAAAAGCTTGAACGTTGGCTAATAGGATTGATGGAAGAGGCAGTTTACTCGCTCGCCGTCGGATCCTTACAAGGCACCCGGATCTGCGTCCGCGATATCTCCGTCTCTTCCTCACGCGAATGACGGGGATCTGGGCCTTGTCGGGTGTCTGTAGGATATCCTTCGCGGCCGCCTCGTTGAAGAAAAAATCTTCGTCCAATGCGAGGTGAGTAATCGCTGTCCTGATATCCAGAAGCTCTTTTTGGTTATAAGAGACGATGGCAGAAACATTATGTACAAAATAAATTACAAATAACGCGGAAAAACACACATAATAGTACAATTGGTTAGAGGGCTGTAAAACGGCAGCCATCTTCTCCGGCGCTGTTCTATCGAGCTAGGCTACAACGGACTAATATTCAAATTGGAGTTGATGACAATGCAATACATAAAAGACCGTAATTAAACAACTACATATTTTGCCATGGAGCACGTTCTGATTGGTAATTGAGGGGTCAAGCCTCAACACACCCATAACTTGTTTATTCATCAAAGTCCAGACCTTTTGCTCCACCGCCAGCTACTGCGCCCATAATTCTGGTTGTGAAAATTGCAAAAATATTTCTGACACCCCCGAACCTGCAGCACTAATGTTTAACATTGCGTTAGGTTTGTTAAAATAGAGCCCATAGTCTGTGTTTCTGTCATTGATCTGTCAATACCTGTAAGAAGTCGGTTGGTCGGGTGTTCAGTGTGGTGTGTGTGCGTGACAATAGTAGTCTTACCTGCCAGGATGGCTTTGTGTGCCTGGAACTCCTGCCCCGCCACACACAGGGAGCAGTCAGTGAAGCGGGAGTGTTCCCACAGCCCTCCCAGCTCATCAGCCAGCCTGCAGTCCGGCACCTTCACCATGTTCATAGTGTTCTGACCTGAGATGTTCACAGAGTCCTGCACCACACTCACCTACAGGGAGGGAGAGATAGATGGAGAGATTGAGAGAGAGAGAGACAGAGACAGACAGAGAGCGAGACAGAGGGACAGAGACAGGGAAGATCAGTCAGTCAGTCTACTCACACTGTATACATCACAGTAACCAACAGACAGAAACATCAGTGAATTAGACCGTCTATCACCTTACACTTATGCAAACAATGGACAGAGACCTTCTAACTGACAAAACAGACAACACACACAATCAAATCATATACAGGAAGACCAGCCATGAACAGATTATCTCTGCCACACTAATCAATACATCAACTGTTAAATAAAGCTACCATGCAAAGACACACCTCCAATAATTAACTGTGTGCTCTACTCATTTACCACATCCACTCACAAACAAGACAACACAGGGACTTGACTCAGTCTATTACTTATTAGTGTGTGTATATATATATAACTACATATATACACACATATACAGTATCTCACAAAAGTGAGTACACCCCTCACATTTTTGTAAATATTTGAGTATATATTTTAATGTGACAACACTGAAGAAATGACACTTTGCTACAATGTAAAGTAGTGAGTGTACAGCTTGTATAACAGTGTAAATTTGCTGTCCCCTCAAAATAACTCAACACAGCCATTAATGTCTAAACCACTGGCAACAAAAGTGAGTACACCCCTAAGTGAAAATGTCCAAATTGGACCCAATTAGCCATTTTCCCTCCCCGGTGTCATGTGACTCATTAGTGTTACAAGGTCTCAGGTGTGAATGGGGAGCAGGTGTGTTAAATTTGGTGTCATCGCTCTCACACTCCCTCATACTGGTCACTGGAAGTTCATGGCACCTCATGGCAAAGAACTCTCTGAGGATCTGAAAAAAATAATTGTTGCTCTACATAAAGATGGCCTGGGCTATAAGAAGATTGCCAAGACCCTGAAACTGAGCTGCAGCACGGTGGCCAAGACCATACAGCGGTTTAACAGGACAGGTTCCACTCAGAACAGGCCTCGCCATGGTCGACCAAAGAAGTTGAGTGCACGTGCTCAGTGTCATATCCAGAGGTTGTCTTTGGGAAATAGACTTATGAGTGCTGCCAGCATTGCTGCAGAGGTTGAAGGGGTGGGGGGGGTCAGCCTGTCAGTGCTCAGACCATACGCCGCACACTGCATCAAATTGGTCTGCATAGCTGTCGTCCCAGAAGGAAGCCTCTTCTAAAGATGATGCACAAGAAAGCCAGCAAACAGTTTGCTGAAGACAAGCAGACTAAGGACATGGATTACTGGAACCATGTCCTGTGGTCTGATGAGACCAAGATAAACGTATTTGGTTCAGATGGTGTCAAGCGTGTGTGGCGGCAACCAGGTGAGGAGTACAAAGACAAGTGTGTCTTGCCTACAGTCAAGCATGGTGGTGGGAGTGTCATGGTCTGGGGCTGCATGAGTGCTGCCGGCACTGGGGAGCTACAGTTCATTGAGGGAACCATGAATGCCAACATGTACTGTGACATACTGAAGCAGACCATGATCCCCTCCCTTCGGAGACTGGGCCGCAGAGCAGTATTCCAACATGATAACGACCCCAAACACACCTCCAAGACTACCACTGCCTTGCTAAAGAAGCTGAGGGTAAAGGGGATGGACTGGCCAAGCATGTCTCCAGACCTAAACCCTATTGAGCATCTGTGGGGCATCCTCAAACGGAAGGTGGAGGAGTGCAAGGTCTCTAACATCCACCAGCTCTGTGATGTCGTCATGGAGGAGTGGAAGAGGACTCCAGTGGCAACCTGTGAAGCTCTGGTGAACTCCATGCCCAAGAGGGTTAAGGCAGTGCTGGAAAATGATGGTGGCCACACAAAATATTGACACTTTGGGCCCAATTTGGACATAATGGCTGTGTGTTGTGTTATTTTGAGGGGACAGCAAATTTACACTGTTATACAAGCTGTACACTCACTACTTTACATTGTAGCAAAGTGTCATTTCTTCAGTGTTGTCACATGAAAAGATATACTCAAATATTTACAAAAATGTGAGGGGTGTACTCACTTTTGTGAGATACTGTATATATACACTCCATGTTGACTTAGCCACCTGTTCAAGACAACATCGACAATACTAATTTATCTCACTACAGGACAGCGAGCGCCACACACACAGTCTTGTACAACTAACACCAAATTCCGTCCCATTCAAAATCCTATTTTCCCTCCTAACCCTAACACTAATTCTAACCTTAACCCTAAACCCCCTAGAAATAGCATTTGACCTTGAAGGGACTAACAAAATGTCCCCACTTTTTGTTTGTTTACTATTCTTGTGGGGAGTTCTGGTCCCCACAAGTATAGTTAAACACGTCCACACACACGTCCACAGATGTCCACACACACTCCTCTGAGGTTATCAGCAACCTTTGAAACCACAGAAGTAAAGAACCAAACATCACCCAACAATTTCCAAGAAGAATTCAAACATTTTCAAACACCATTCCTTTGAAAAAGGTTTAAGACACAAACTGTTCCCAGAAAAATATGTTTCAATGCCACTGAAACTATTCCCAGAAAAAGCTGTGTCATGGCCACTGAAACTCCCAAATGCATCCCAGTAAGGTGACCTTGCTACTGGGCTGTTCAGACAGGGAGGGATGGAGGCTGCCCCCCATGAAAAATACCCTCCCAGTTCCACCCACTGTCCCCCTCTCTATCTGTCCCCCTGTCCCTCTGTCTGCCCGTCCCTCTGTCTGCCCGTCCCTCTGTCTGCCCGTCCCTCTGTCTGCCCGTCCCTCTGTCTGCCCGTCCCTCTGTCTGCCCGTCCCTCTGTGTGCCCGTCCCTCTGTCTGCCCGTCCCTCTGTCTGCCCGTCCCTCTGTCTGCCCGTCCCTCTGTCTGCCCGTCTAACTCAGGCAGAGACGAAAGGGGAGAAAAACACACAATGAAAAAGTGTGTGGCAAGCAGGAAATTGAATGTCAAGGACCCTTGTTTGCTCCTGATGGAGGTGTAAGTGTTAGCCTGGAGGGAGAGAAAGACAGGGGAGGGAGGGTTAGACAGAGGGATGGAGAGAGATAGAGAATAAAAGACCGGGAGATAAAAGGCAGGACAGGGTGACAGACAGATAGAGAGAAATAATAGGACGGTATAGGATCCTAAGGAGGAAATAGACATTACAGGGGCACAGTACAAAGAAAATGGTGCTGTTGAGAGGAGGAGGGCATTGTGACCATGTGTATTGTGTATCACCGTGTGTGTGGGTGTGTGGCACAGGCTGGTCCCCACAGCTGGCTCCATAAATCACACTCCAGGGGGACTTCAGTATGAATGACGTACATCCATCTCCCCACACACACACACACACACACATTCACTCAAGAGTACACTCGCAAGGCACTCATAAGACACTGATTAGCAACAAGGACTGGGAGAGAGGGACATGTGTGGAGGGGAGATGAAGATTGAGATGGAGAGAGAGAGGAGAAAGAAGAGAGGCAGATTAAAGGAGGTAAACTGGAGACTGAGTAAGAGGGAGGGAACAGGTAAGTCAACACAGGCAGCACTGTGTCTGTTGAGATGCACTCTGTATGGCTGCGTCTCAAATAGCGCCCTATTCCTTATATAGTGCTCAACTTTTGACTGCAGGGAATAGGGTGCCAATTGGGCCGCACCCATTATCTACAGTAGTAAATGCAGATGGGCGTTTCAGTTTCAGGTGTGTCTGTAGGTATATATAGACCAATAAGCATGGCCATGCACTCAGCCGCTGTATGGCACGGCTAGCCACGCTAGGCTAATCACACTGGCTAACCTGGCCCATTATTCCACCAACTAACCACTATGCTGTAGCTCTGCAGCTAGCTCCTGACTATTTACACACACTGACTGAACTACTCTGTCTTCACCTCACTGTCGTGTTCTCCTGTCATCTTCATCATCAGCATGTTCAACAATCATCATCACCACCATCATCCTCCTCGTCAGCTAGGCCGTATATTACTGTATCATTATGGTGGCGATGTTCATTAATGGCCTTAACCCCTGACCTGCTGGTTTCATTATTAATGACTCACAGCAGCCCTCTTGATCTCTGCAGACAAGCCAGTTGCTATGGAATCTCAGAGCCCAGAAGATTAATTAATTTATGCATCAGTCTCTTTTACCCGTCTATGTGTCAGTTTATAGATTTACAGTACCTCATGCGTGAAATAGTCCTGAAAAAATCATCAAATCAAATAAAGTTAATTAAGTTATGGAACATTTGTTTTTTCCCTCCAGTGTCTCCACTTTTCTCTAATCAATCCAGAGCATACTGGGTCACATACACACCCACGCACACACACAAACCCAAGCGCATACACTCGCACGCACACCTTTCCTCAGTTCTGCCTTAATAGGTGTGTGATCTTTTAAACTTGTCGTCTGAACCCCCGAGCGCAGAACTCATCAGCAGCTTTTTATACTGCATGACTGGCCCTCCCTCCGCTCTCTCTCCAGCCGCTCTCCACTCAACCAGAGTAAACAGCGCTGCTCAAGACACACATCAAACTATATTGAATACACAGACACATGCACACACTATCTATATAAACACACTTTCCTCAGAGGTATCAGCAAACCCCAAAATAAGGCCACACACATCTAAAAGCCCACACTCACACATTAAACCAAATGACTTCAATCTAGGTGCTTAACTGGGGAAAAACATACCAGTCAACCCTGTTGGCAACCCATTAAAGCTTCATAGTGGATGAGCCAAATTATTCCCCTACTTTATTAGATAGTGAGTGACAGTTACCACTACTGATGAGTATTCCATTGAGTCCGTGGAGACACCATTCACACCAGGGTACTGGACTAGATCTACAGCTGGTATTTCAGCAGACCAGCCTGCACCTGCACCCGTCTGCCACAGAGGTTTTTGAGTGGATCGACAGAGACAGGGGCAGAGGCATATTTCATGCATGATTTGAAGTCAAGCTGGTGAACGACGCGCACGAGAGAGAGAGAGCGGACCCAAGCCACAGCAGCCAGTTTCCCATTGTTTCGGAGCCAAGAGTTGCTGTTGTCTCGCCGGCCTTGTTCTTCCACAGAGACAAACAACTGTCTGGCTGGCAGAGAGCAGTGCAGACAGACAGACGCAGACACAGACAGACGGATGTAGGCAAACAGGCAGGCCAACCATTCAGGTCCCTTTAAACTAGTTGTGTTTTCTCTGCTGGAAGATCACAGAGACACTAAACTGATAGCTTTGAGACTCAGAGGCCCGATTTAACGGCGCTTGAAGGAAACAATCTGGAGGAGCGAGGGAGAAAATTACTTGCTGCTTCATTTTTTATGAGAAGAACTAAAAGGGCTTTTTGATTGGGTTTAAAGAACTGTTGATGTTGTTGTGTCAAGGTGTAACTTGTTCTCAACCGAATGAGGTGGCCTAGAAACTAGGGTTGGGCGGTATACCATATACATTTTGAAATACCCTCATATGATTTGCTAATACCGTTTTAAGCTAATTTAAATAAATACCTGCAGTCAACTTGTGCACTAGGTAATAGATAAAGCAGATTGCATTCATCATTTCGACTGTTACATTATTTTTCATTATGAAGCTTACCAGTACTAGTTTCCCAAAACAGCTGTTTGAGCCAGTCACGTTTGTTTGTTTACAAAGCGAACAAAGCAAAACGAGCAAAACGGGAGCTTCTTGATGCGAGTCACTCCTGCAGCGCAACTGAAGTGAGGTGATCAAGTTACACTTGTCTGAAATTCACTACTAATGTTTGCCAGCTATACATCTTGTAACTATTAAGTAAATTATCTAAGATGTGCCAAATACATTCTCTCCAGCTAAGTTTTGCTAACTTGCTAAGTGGCTAACGTTAGCTTGAAAGATCAAGCTTCTTGGTAACAACAGAAGAGACAATCCCCTCCTGGATTAAGATCCCTGCTGTCTGATATTTGTTTTGTGCGTTTTGAGATACTTGCAGACCTGTATGAGCTGGGTTGTCTGTCTTAGCGCTCGTTAGCATTTACTTAACATCCGCTATTCTGGTAAGTTAGGTTTTTTGCAGGTTTTTTACGTTTTGAAACCAAAACTGTGCCCCTTATCTGCACTACCGGTAAGACTGTCTATCCTGGGAAGGCACAAGCACGGTATGAAGTTATGCAAATCTGGATACTGCCAAACCCTACTAGAAACAGATACACGTGAAGTCAAAAGGTGAGAGGCTGGGGGCACAGCGCCATGGTGAAAACCCAGTAGAGGAAGATCAACATGAAACGAAGGCACTTTTCTCCTTTCTCACCTTCTCTCCATCTATCACTAATCATCTACCCATCTCAGTTACTGTGTCTCTAACCCTCTTTCTTTCTCTCAACGGTCATCCTACTTTTCTTCTCACTTATTCTTTCTGTCACCAACTCCTTTCTACGCCATTTTCCCCTCGCTCTCTACCTACTCCAAACTAGGCTTGGGCTGTATATCGTATATATAGTATACCGGGGTATTTGGAAAAAGCCACGGGATGGTTTTTTAATACCGGCAAAAAGTGTTTCAATAAATTGGAATATTTGTAGCTACTATTTAAGTTGTTACCTGCAGACAACTTGTGCAATACCTTAGGAGATAAAGCAGATTGCTTTCTTCATTTCACCTGTCACATTTTAAATTATGAGGCTTACCATAGTTCCCAAAAACAGTTGCGCCAGTCATGGGTTTGTTTATAAATTGCACAACGGGAGAAAGCGTTCTATATCTATCTGCGAGTCTCTGTTGTGCAGTGCACATGAGGTGATGAAGTTAGATATCTTAGTATGGCTTTCTGCCAGAAGTCAAAGAGTTCTGGATGAGTTCTGTACAGCTGCCATTTTCCCCTGTGCTTCCTACTAGTGTTTTTTTCTCCTCCGTTCTTCTCCCATCTGGTCCATGTACACATGCTGCTCTTCCTTCAGAAAAGCATGCATCAAAACTTTGTTCATTTGCACAATTTATCTTGTCCACTTTCGCTTGTAAATGTCCACACTGACCGAAAATGACATTCGGTAGCTACTAGCTATGCTTGTATAACTTTATGAGCTTGGGTTGCAAGTCTTTGCAATTAGTTTGTGCTAATTTTGTTAGCATTCTGGTAATGCGTTTTTAGCACCCCCTTGTGTGCTATGCCGTAAATACCGTAAATCCCAGTATGAGAGAAGGACGATATGACAATATGAAAATCTGGATACCACCCAAGCCTACTCCAAACCCTGTTACTTACATCTTCTCTCAAACCATTTCCACCCTTTTCTTATACTCATCTTCCATCCATCCCATTCTTTCTCTGTCTATCCTTCCTAACGAAGTCTCTCACTTTGTGTCTCAGTCTCACTGAGCCTCTACACATCTCCCCCCTCTCTCCGTCTCAGTTTTGGGGAGGTGTGTGAGGCGAGAGAGGGAGGTGTGTAGGTAGGTGGGGGGCAGCTGGAGCATCTGCAGCAGTCTACTCTGACAGCAGCGCGGCATATGGCAGGGCCCTGTGAAGGATGGGCGCTGTCACCCGGCAAAGTGCTTACCCACAGACAGCCAGGAGAAAGAAGGGGGAGAGCAAGAGCGAGCGAGAGAGAGGAGCTCAGCTCAAACACCAGGAGTAAGAGGAGGAAACAGCTGAACATCAGCACCCACCTCATTTATTCACACACACACTCATCCCTCCATCCCTGGGAGGAGACGGTGGAGAGGAAGGGAGGGGAGAGGATACGGAGGAGTGAGAGAAAGATAGATAGAAAGCTCTTTGGATGCAAAGAAGCTGTAGGGTGGTTAGGATGAGACTAGAAGCACTATTGTATCATCACTGTTATGAAGTGAGTTATGCTGGGGTAGAATGAGAAAACCCTTCAGTGGTTCATTCACTCTCCCTGAGGTAACAGAGTGGGTGAAAAAGACGGAGGCTCCCTGAAACAAGCCAATCATGTCCACCAGCCGATGCTCTCTGACACTACCTCTGGCTGCCTAAAGGTGAACCACTGACTTACCAATTTAGGATGACTGACAGATAGATGGGTATCCAAAAAACACCTCTGTTGGACTGTCTGAATAGACCTAGACACACTTAACAGTAAACAAAACCCCTTAGGCAGAGACACAAAGTAAGTTTTATGAGTAAGTTCTCCAACTGTAACGTATGTAAGGGGTGGTAAACTACGGTCCTTGAGAGCTACTGGTGTGCAGGTTTTGCTCCATCCCAGCTTGTTTTGGAAAAAAAGCCTGCATACACAGTTCTCCAGGACTGGAGCTAGAGATCCATACAGTACACTGCTTTAAAACTAGAACCATACAGTGTATTTAAACTGTGACCTTAGTGAGGTTACTATGAGCCCTGTCAAAGATAGGAGAGAAGAGAGATCAGTCATTTACCAGGGTGTCTCATTAGAGAAGAGGTGAGGAAAGTAAAGAAACACTTCTCCTCCAGATACCAACCCATTAATCTGTCTGCCTCCACATTTCTCCTAAACTTATATCCATCCAATTCTGCCCATCATCTCCCCTTTTCCTGTCATCCACATTTCCTTTTCTCTCGCTCTGTCTCTCCTCCTCTGCCCCCTCCCCTCCTGCCACCTCCTGTTCTCTCTCCTCCTCTGAAGGGACCTCTCCTTTCCTTCACTCCTCCTCTCAGAGCGCCTCTTATGACAGCCAGCACAGAACCTTTAATGGGAACTATCTTCTCATTAAATACCTGCAGGTGTCTGGAGCTTTGGCAGAGACGGAGAGAGGGGGAGGGAGATCTTTTTATATATATACATATAGAGAGAGAGAAGAAAAAGAAGAAAGATGGCTAGAAAGGATGGCAAGGTTTGTTCTGGCCCTTTCCTACATGACACACAGCCAGACCCCTGGTGCGGTGTTTAAATAACTAATGCCTAAGGAGCAGACAGATAGACAGAGGGGTTAGAGTAGGGCCTTCAGCTGGCACCTATTCACACTGGTACATGTCTCCTCTCCACCACACACCCTGTTCTACATCCATACATCTCTGCCTGAGGGGAGAAGATGAGAGGGGCCAGGGGAGGGAGAGAGGATAGGAGAGGGAAGGGGGCCACAGGAGAGGATAAGAGATGGAGAACAAATGCCAGGAGAGAGGGAAGACATGAGGGATGGCATGGAGAAGAGAGGGAAGAGATGTGTGCTGGGCTCTGGGGCGATTCCACTCTCTCAGAGGCAGGACGGGACCATCTGGCCATGAGCGAGAGACAGAGAGATAACGAGAGAGAGAGATAAAGAAAGAGAGAGAGAGAGAAAGAGAGAGACAGAGAGCGAGGTCGAGAGCGCAGCCATTTAGTCATTTACCAGGGTGTCTCATTAGAGAAGTGTGGAAAATAAAGAAACACCACTTCTCCAGATACCAACCCATTAATCGGTCTGCCTGAATCCACATTTCTCCTAAACTTATATCCATCCAATTCTGCCCATCAGCTCCCCTTTTTCCTGTCATCCACATTTCCTTTTCTCTCGCTCCGTCTCTCCTCCTCCGCCCCCTCCCCTCCTGCCACCTCCTGTTCTCTATCCTCCTCTGAAGGGACCTCTCCTTTCCTTCACTCCTCCTCTCAGAGCACCTCTTATGAGAGCCAGCACAGAACCTTTAATGGGAACTATCTTCTCATTAAATACCTACAGGTAGAGGAGAGGGAGAGACGTAAAAGAGGGGAGGCGTAGAGCAGAGGAAGGGAGAGGAGGGAGCAGAGGAGGAAAATAGAGAGAAGGGAGAGGAGCAAAGCAAGGAGAGAGGGAAGAGATGAGGGGTGGCATTGAGAAGAGAGCCAAGAGAAGATAGAAGAGCACTGGGCTCTGGGGAGTTCCCTCTCTCTCAGAAGCAGGACAGGACCATGTGGCCAAGAGAGCGAGAGAAAGCAGAGAGAGAGGGAGAGAGCGAAGAGAGCGAGAGAGAGGGAAGGAGAGAGAGCGGGAAGGAGAAAGAGAGAGAGAGGGAGAGAGTGAGGGAAAGAGAGAGAGAGAGAGACCGAGAGAAAGAAAGAAAGAAAGGAGAGGTTTTAAGTTTTAATGTCACGTGCACAAGTACAGTGAAATCCCTTTCTTGCTAGCTCCAAACCCAACAATGCAGTAATCAATATCAATGTAGCACTAAAAATAACATAAGGTAGAACAAAAACACAAGAAATAAAAATAAAGAAGAACACAAGAAAGTAAGAAGCTACAGTGAGGGAAAAAACGATTTGATCCCCTGCTGATTTTGTACGTTTGCCCACTGACAAAGAAATGATCAGTCTATAATTTTAATGGTAGGTTTATTTGAACAGTGAGAGACAGAATAACAACAACAAAATCCAGAAAAACACATGTCAGAAATGTTAGAAATTGATTTGCATTTTAATGAGGGAAATAAGTATTTGACCCCCTCTCAATCAGAAAGATTTCTGGCTCCCAGGTGTCTTTTATACAGGTAATGAGCTGAGATTAGGAGCACACTCTTAAAGGGAGTGCTCCTAATCTCAGCTTGTTACCTGTATAAAAGACACCTGTCCACAGAAGCAATCAATCAATCAGATTCCAAACTCTCCACCATGGCCAAGACCAAAGAGCTCTCCAAGGATGTCAGGGACAAGATTGTAGACCTACACAAGGCTGGAATGGGCTACAAGACCATCGCCAAGCAGCTTGGTGAGAAGGTGACAACAGTTGGTGCGATTATTCGCAAATGGAAGAAACACAAAAGACCTGTCAATCTCCCTCGGCCTGGGGCTCCATGCAAGATCTCACCTCGTGGAGTTGCAATGATCATGAGAACGGTGAGGAATCAGCCCAGAACTACACGGGAGGATCTTGTCAATGATCTCAAGGCAGCTGGGACCATTGTCACTAAGAAAACAATTGGTAACACACTACGCCGTGAAGGACTGAAATCCTGCAGCGCCCGCAAGGTCCCCCTAATCAAGAAAGCACATATACAGGCCCGTCTGAAGTTTGCCAATGAACATCTGAATGATTCAGAGGAGAACTGGGTGAAAGTGTTGTGGTCAGATGAGACCAAAATGGAGTTCTTTGACATCAACTCAACTCGCTGTGTTTGGAGGAGGAGGAATGCTGCCTATGACCCCAAGAACACCATCCCCACCGTCAAACATGGAGGTGGAAACATTATGCTTTGGGGGTGTTTTTCTGCTAAGGGGACAGGACAACTTCACTGCATCAAAGGGACGATGGACGGGGCCATGTACCGTCAAATGTTGGGTGAGAACCTCCTTCCCTCAGCCAGGGCATTGAAAATGGGTCGTAAATGGGTATTCCAGCATGACAATGACCCAAAACACACGGCCAAGGCAACAAAGGAGTGGCTCAAGAAGAAGCACATTAAGGTCCTGGAGTGGCCTAGCCAGTCTCCAGACTTTAATCCCATAGAAAATCTGTGGAGGGAGCTGAAGGTTCGAGTTGCCAAACGTCAGGCTCGAAACCTTAATGACTTGGAGAAGATCTGCAAAGAGGAGTGGGACAAAATCCCTGATTGCCAACAAGGGTTTTGCCACCAAGTACTAAGTCATGTTTTGCAGAGGGGTCAAATACTTATTTCCCTCATTAAAATGCAAATCAATTTAGAACATTTGTGACATTCGTCTTTCTGGATTTTTTTGTTGTTATTTTGTCTCTCACTGTTCAAATAAACCTACCATTACAATTATAAACGGATCATGTCTTTGTTAGTGGGCAAACGTACAAAATCAGCAGGGGATCAAATACCTTTTTCCCTCACTGTATATACAAGGTCAGTTCCAACACCATATATACAATGTGCAGGTATACTGGAGTGATAGAGACATGTACAGTGCATTCGGAAAGTGTTCAGACCCTTTGACTTTTTCCACATTGTTACATTACAGCCTTATTCTAAAATTGATTAAATTGTTTTTTCCCCTACTCAATCTACACACAATACCCCATAATGACAAAGCAAAAATAGGTTTTCATTAAAAATAAAAAAACGGAAATATCACATTTACATACAGTGGGGAGAACAAGTATTTGATACACTGGCGATTTTGCAGGTTTTCCTACTTACAAAGCATGCAGAGGTCTGTAATTTTTATCATAGGTACACTTCAACTGTGAGAGACGGAATCTAAAACAAAAATCCAGAAAATCACATTGTATGATTTTTAAGTAATTAATTTGCATTTTATGGCATGACATAAGTATTTGATACATCAGAAAAGCAGAACTTAATATTTGGTACAGAAACCTTTGTTTGCAATTACAGAGATCATACGTTTCCTGTAGGTCTTGACCAGGGTTTGCACACACTGCAGCAGGGATTTTGGCCCACTCCTCCATACAGACCTTCTGTCGCTGGGCAATATGGATTTTCAGCTCCCTCCAAAGATGTTCTATTGGGTTCAGGTCTGGAGACTGGCTAGGCCACTCCAGGACCTTGAGATGCTTCTTACGGAGCCACTCCTTAGTTGCCCTGGCTGTGTGTTTCGGGTCGTTGTCATGCTGGAAGGCCCAGCCACGACCCATCTTCAATGCTCTTACTGAGGGAAGGAGGTTGTTGGCCAAGATCTCGCGATACATGGCCCCATCCATCCTCCCCTCAATGCGGTGCAGTCGTCCTGTCCCCTTTGCAGAAAAGCATCCCCAAAGAATGATGTTTCCACCTCCATGTTTCACGGTTGGGATGATGTTCTTGGGGTTGTACTCATCCTTCTTCTTCCTCCAAACACGGCGAGTGGAGTTTAGACCAAAAAGCTCTATTTTTGTCTCCAACACCATCATTAAGTTTGCCGACGACACAACAGTGGTAGGCCTGATCACCGACAACGATGAGACAGCCTATAGGGAGGAGGTCAGAGATCTGGCCGTGTGGTGCCAGGACAACAACCTCTCCCTCAACGTGACCAAGACAAAGGAGATGATTGTGGACTACAGGAAAAAAAAGAGGACTGAGCACGCCCCCATTCTCATCGACGGGGCTGTAGTGGAACAGGTTGAGAGCTTCAAGTTCCTTGGTGTCCACATCACCAACGAACTATCATGGTCCAAACACACCAAGACAGTCGTGAAGAGGGCACGACAAAGCCTATTCCCCCTCAGGAGACTAAAAAGATTTGGCATGGGTCCTCAGATCCTCAAAAAATTCTACAGCTGCACCATCGAGAGCATCCTGACTGGTTGCATCACCGCCTGGTATGGCAACTGCTTGGCCTCTGACCGCAAGGCACTACAGAGGGTAGTGCGTACGGCCCAGTACATCACTGGGGCAAAGCTCCCTGCCATCCAGGACCTCTATACCAGGCGGTGTCAGAGGAAGGCCCTCAAAATTGTCAAAGACTCCAGTCACCCTAGTCATAGACTGTTCTCTCTGCTACCGCACGGCAAGCGGTACCGGAGTGCCAAGTCTAGGTCCAAAAGACTTCTCAACAGCTTCTACCCCCAAGCCATAAGACTCCTGAACAGCTAATCATGGCTACCCGGACTATTTGCACTGCCCCCCCCACCCCATCCTTTTTACGCTGCTGCTACTCTGTTAAGTATTTATGCATAGTCACTTTAACTCTACCCACATGTACATATTACCTCAACTACCTCAACTAGCCGGTGCCCCCGCACATTGACTATGCAACGGTACCCCCCCTGTATATATAGCCTCCCTACTGTCACTTTATTCTATTGTATATATAGCCTCCCTACTGTCACTTTATTTTTTACTTCTGCATCAGACCACATGACCTTCTCCCATTCCTCCTCTGGATCATCCAGATGGTCATTGGCAAACTTCAGACGGGCCTGGACATGCGCTGGCTTGAGCAGGGGGACCTTGCGTGCGCTGCAGGATTTTAATCCATGACGGCGTAGTGTGTTACTAATGGTTCTTTGAGACTGTGGTCCCAGCTCTAATCAGGTCATTGACCAGGTCCTGCCGTGTAGTTATGGGCTGATCCCTCACCTTCCTCATGATCATTGATGCCCCACGAGGTGAGATCTTGCATGGAGCCCCAGACCGAGGGTGATTGACCGTCATCTTGAACTTCTTCCATTTTCTAATAATTGCGGCAACAGTTGTTGCCTTCTCACCAAGCTGCTTGCCTATTGTCCTGTAGCCCATCCCAGCCTTGTGCAGGTCTACAATTTTATCCCTGATGTCCTTACACAGCTCTCTGGTCTTAGCCATTGAGGAGAGGTTGGAGTCTGTTTGATTGAGTGTGTGGACAGGTGTGTTTTAAACAGGTAACGAGTTCAAACAGATGCAGTTAATACAGGTAATGAGTGGAGAACAGGAGGGCTTCTTAAAGAAAAACTAACAGGTCTGTGAGAGCCGGAATTCTTACTGGTTGGTAGGTGATCAAATACTTATGTCATGCAATAAAATGCAAATTAATTACTTAAAAATCATACAATGTGATGTTCTAGATTTTTGTTTTAGATTCCGTCTCTCACAGTTGAAGTGTACCTATGATAAAAATGATAGACCTCTACATGCTTTGTAAGTAGGAAAACCTGCAAAATCGGCAGTGTATCAAATACTTGTTCTCCCCACTGTAAGTATTCAGATCCTTTACTCAGTACTTTGTTGAAGCACCTTTGGCAGCGATTACAGCCTCAAGTCTTCTTGGGTATGATGCTACAAGCTTGGCACACCTGTATTTGGGGAATGTCTCCATTCTTCTCTGCAGATCCACTCAAGTTCTGTCAGGTTGGATGGGGAGCGTCGCTGCACAGCTATTTTCAGGTCTCTCCAGAGATGTTCGATCAGGTTCAAGTCCGGGCTCTGGCTGGGCCACTCAAGGATATTCAGAGACTTGTCCCAAAGCCACTCCTGCGTTGTCTTGGTATGCTTAGGGTCGTTGTCCTATTGGAAGGTGAACCTTTGCCCCAGTCTGAGGTCCTGAGCACTCTGTAACTGAGTGTGGAGTGAGATCGCTTGTAGGCAGGGAGCCTAGGGCGACAGAGGATGACACAGTGTGTATATAAATGTTGAGTCAAAGTTTTTTTCAGATTATTTTATTTTTGAGAGCTGTGTTTTGTGGTAACCCAAGCCCGCCAGCATACATCCTTGTTGTACTATTTTAATATTGATTGTAATAAAATAAAAAATAAATGGTGGAAAAACTACCCAATTGTCATACTTGAGTAACAGTAAAAGATACCTTAATAGAAAATGTGCGTGAATTGGACAATTTTTCTGTCCTGCTAAGCATTGAAAATGTAATGAGTACTTTTGGGTGTCAGGGAAAATGTATGGAGTAAAAAGTACATTATTTTCTTTAGGAATGTAGTGAAGTAAAATATGAAAGTTGTCAAAAATATAAGTAGTAAAGTACAGATACCCCATAAAATGACTTAAGTAGTACTTTAAAGTATTTTTACTTAAGAACTTTACACCACTGCCTTCATGTGGTGCATTTCCATATCCAGTACCCAGTTCAGGTCTTCTGTCTGATTCCCTCAGCATTCTCTCTCCTCAACATATCTTTCCATGTAACTTACTGTGGTATCTCACAATCAAAATCTACAACATAAAATAAAAACCTGTGTTTACAGTTAAAGATGAATGTGTTTCTGACTTAGTTTTGTATTACAGTACTAATTGGTGGATTACTGTTGCTACCAATATCCCTGTGAGCCTCCCAGGCCCATGTTGCCCAGGGTTAAGAATATAAATTGTTGATTCATAATATTACATTGTATTATATTACACTCTCTAAACTTGTTCTACAGATCTCTTGGCCAAAATCTGTTAACTGTTTTTTTATATACATTTTGAGATCTGGCCGTGTAACCCCTGCAATACCTCTGCGGAACCCACTTGGAGAACCGCTGATATATACGTTCATTGTGTGGTCTTGTTGGTTTCCACTCCAATATCATGAGATCTCAAAATTGCAGAAATGGAGAATGCAGTGATAAGGCTATTACATTTTAGGACAAGTAGTTTTGGTCTGTGATATAGTCTTGAGTGGTTTTGATATGAAAGTGAAACCCTCGTATACTTTCACGTTATCATCTTGTTTAGTTGATTAGGCCACGTAGCTGATTCACCTGGGAATACACTGCCCTTGCAATAACCTGTTTTTAAGGCTCCCTTGTCATTCTACTATTGCATACAGTTGCATAACTGTTTACACAACTGTTTGTATATGGATTTTGGTAGGGAAACAAGGTCTTTAACACATTCTAAAAGTTATCTGATTACTTTACAGGATGTGCTGCATTTCAAATTGTTTCCTTTATTATGAAAAAAATGTATGCACTCACTAACTGTAAGTCGCTCTGGATAAGAGTGTCTGCTAAATGACTAAAATATAAATGTAAATGTTTTCATTAAGGATCTCTCTGTACTTTGCTCCGTTCATCTTTCCCTCGATCCTGACTAGTCTCCCAGTCCCTGCCGCTGAAAACATACCGACAGCTGCCACCACCATGCTTCACCGTAGGGATAGTGCCAGATTTCCTCCAGACGTGACGCTTGGCATTCAGGCCAACGAGTTCAATCTTGGTTTCATCATACCAGAGAATCTTGTTTCTCATTGTCTGAGAATCCTTTAGGTGCCTTTTGGCAAACTCCAAGCGGGCTGTCATGTGCCTTTTACTGAGGAGTGGCTTCCGTCTGGCCACTCTACCATAAAGGCCTGATTGGTGGAGTGCTGCAGAGATGGTTGTCCTTCTGGAAGGTTCTCCCATCTCCACAGAGGAACTCTGGAGCTCTGTCAGAGTGACCATTGGGTTATTGGTCACCTCCCTGACCAAGGCCCTTCTCCCGCGATTGCTCAGTTTGGCCGGGCGGCCAGCTTTAGGAAGAGTCTTGGTGGTTCCAAACTTCCTCCATTTAAGAAAGATGGAGGCCACTGTGTTCTTGGGGACCTTCAATGCTTCAGAAATTTTTTGGTACCCTTCCCCAGATCTGTGCCTCAACACAATCCTGTCTCAGAGCTCAACAAACATATCCTTCAACCTCATGACTTGGTTTTTGCTCCGTCAACTGTGGGACATTACATAGACAGGTTTGTGCCTTTCCAAATCATGTCCAATCATTTGAATTTACCACAGGTGAACTCCAATCAAGTTGTAGAAACATCTCAAGGATGATCAATGGAAACAGGAAGCACCTGAGCTCAATTTCGAGTCTCATAGCAAAGGGTCTGAATACTTATTTCCATTTTTTTATTCTTAATACATTTGCAAAACATTCTAAGAACCTGTTTTCGCTTTGTCATTATGGGGTAATGTGTGTAGATTGATGAGGCAAAAAAATTATTTAATTCATTTTAGAATAAGGCTGTAACGTAACAAAATGTGGAAAAAGTCAAGGGGCCTGAATACTTTCCAAATGCACTGTATGTATAGGGGTAAGGTGACTAGGCATCAGGATATACACAGAGTATACCAAACATTAGGAACACCATCCTAATTATTGAGTTGCATCCCTTATTGATATCAATAAGGGATCATAGCTCGTTTGTTAAGTCTAATGACACTGCTGGTCCTGCTCACACTGCCCTACCCTATGCTTTGACTTCTTTCTCCCCTCTCTCTCCAGATAAAATCTTGCGACTTGTGACTGCAGGCCGCCCAACAACCTGCCCGCTTGACCCCATCCCCTCCTCTCTTCTCCAGACCATCTCCGGTGACCTTCTCCCCTACCTCACCTCGCTGATCAACTCATCCTTGACCGCTGGCTATGTCCCTTCAGTCTTCAAGAGAGCGAGAGTTGCACCCCTTCTCAAAAAACCAACACTCGATCCCACTGATGTCAACAACTACAGACCAGTATCCCTTCTTTCTTTTCTTTCCAAAACTATTGAGCGTGCCGTCTTTAGCCAACTCTCTTGCTATCTCTCTCAGAATGACCTTCTTGATCCAAACCAGTCAGGTTTCAGGACTGGTCATTCAACTGAGACTGCTCTTCTCTGTGTCACGGAGGCTCTCCGCACTGCTAAAGCTAACTCTCTCTCCTCTGCTCTTGTCCTTCTAGACCTGTCTGCTGCCTTTGATACTGTGAACCATCAGATCCTCCTCTCCACCCTCTCCGAGCTGGGCATCTCCGGCGCGGCTCACTCCTGGATTGCGTCCTACCTGACCGGTCGCTCCTACCAAGTGGCGTGGCGAGAAGCTGTCTCCGCACCACGTGCTCTCACCACTGGTGTCCCCCAGGGCTCAGTTCTAGGCCCTCTCCTTTTCTCCCTATACACCAAGTCACTTGGCTCTGTCATATCCTCACATGGCCTCTCCTATCATTGCTACGCTGACGATACACAACTAATCTTCTCCTTTCCCCCTTCTGACAACCAGGTGGCGAATCGCATCTCTGCATGTCTGGCAGACATATCAGTATGGATGATGGATCACCACCTCAAGCTGAACCCTGGCAAGACGGAGCTGCTCTTCCTCCCGGGGAAGGACTGCCCGTTCCATGATCTCGCCATCACGGTTGACAACTCCGTTGTGTCCTCCTCCCAGAGTGCGAAGAGCCTTGGCGTGACCCTGGACAACACCCTGTCGTTCTCCGCTAACATCAAGGCGGTGACCCGATCCTGCAGGTTCATGCTCTACAACATTCGGAGAGTACGACCCTGCCTTACACAGGAAGCGGCACAGGTCCTAATCCAGGCACTTGTCATCTCCCGTCTGGATTACTGCAACTCGCTGTTGGCTGGGCTCCCTGCCTGTGCCATTAAACCCCTACAACTCATCCAGAATGCCGCAGCCCGTCTGGTGTTCAACCTTCCCAAGTTCTCTCACGTCACCCCCCCTCCTCCGCACACTCCACTGGCTTCCAGTTGAAGCTCGCATCTGTTACAAGACCATGGTGCTTGCCTATGGAGCTGTGAGGGGAACGGCACCTCCGTACCTTCAGGCTCTGATCAGTCCCTACACCCAAACGAGGGCATTGCGTTCATCCACCTCTGGCCTGCTGGCTCCCCTTCCTCTGCGGAAGCATAGTTCCCGCTCAGCCCAGTCAAAACTGTTCGCTGCTCTGGCACCCCAATGGTGGAACAAGCTCCCTCACGACGCCAGGACAGCGGAGTCACTCACCACCTTCCGGAGACATTTGAAACCCCACCTCTTTAAGGAATACCTGGGATAGGATAAAGTAATCCTTCTACCCCCCCAAAAAAACAAAAAAATAATAAAAAAATAAAATAAAATAAAATCATTTGTAAAGTGGTTATCCCACTGGCTATAGGGTGAATGCACCAATTTGTAAGTCGCTCTGGATAAGAGCGTCTGCTAAATGACGTAAATGTAAATGTAATAGCTTTCACCTGGATTCACCTGTCAGTCTGTCATGGAAAGAGCAGGTGTCCTTAATTTTGCTCAGTGTACGATAAACAGAGTAGCAGCAGCGTAAATGATGATAGTATGTGAGTGTTTGTGCGTTTCTGTAGAGTCCGTATACATTTGTGTGCATGTTATGTGTGTGTTGGAGTGTCAGTGTGTGTGTAGAGTCCCGTGAGTGTGCAAAGAGATAAAAAATAAATACAAGGGCCAACTCAGATATTCCGTATAACAATTCTGTTAGCTATTTAGAAGTGTTATGGCTTGGGGATAGAAGCTGTTCAGGACCCTGTTGGTGTCATACTTGATGCAACGGTACCACTTGCCGTGCGGAAGCAGAGAGAACAGTCTATGGCTTGGGTCGCTGGAGTCTTTAATGATTTTCTGGGTCTTCCTTTCACACCGCCTGATATAGAGGTCCTGGATGGCAGGGAGCTCGGCCCCAATGATGTACTGGCCTGTCCGCACCACCTTCTGTAGCGCCATGTGATCGAGGGCGGTGTTGTTGCCATACCAAGCAGTAATGCAGCCAGTTAAGATGCTCTCAATGGTGCAACTGTAGACCTTTTTGAGGATTTGAGGGCCCATTGCCAAACCTTTTCAACTTCCTGAGGGGGAAGAGGCACTGTTGTGCCTTCTTCACGACTGTGCACGTGGACCATTCTAAGTGCTTAGTGATTTGGACACAGAGGAACATGAAGCTCTCAACCCGTCGATGTGGATGGGGGAGTGCTCCCCCCCCCCCCCCTTTCCTGCAGTCCATGATCAGCTCCTTGATCTTACTGACGTTGAGGGAGAGGTTGTCACCGATCTCCTCCTTGTAGGCTGTCTCATCGTCGCCGGTGATCAGACCTACCACCGTCGTATCGTCAGCAAACTTAATGATGGTGTTGGAGTCGTGTGTGGCCATGCAGTCGTGTGTGAACAGGAAGTACAGGAGGGGACTAAGCACACACCCCTTTGGGGCCCCCGTGTTGAGGGTCAGTGTGGCGGACGTGATGTTGCCTACCCTTCACCACCTGGGGTCGGCCCACCAGGAAGTCCAGGATCCAGATACAGAGGGAGATGTTCAGTCCCAGGGTCCTAAGCTTGGTGACGAGCTTGGAAGGGACAATGGTGTTGAACACTGAGCTGTGGTCAATGAACAGCATTCTCACAAAAGGAGAGAGAAAGAGTGGAGAGAGAGAGAAAGGAGAGAGAGAGAAAAAGAGAAGGAAACAGAATGAGAGGAGGCGAGAACAAGGAGCCAGGTCTCTGATGGTAATAAAGACTGCATCACAGGGAGAACAAGGACCAGGAATATTGAAGTACTTTACACTACTAGACCTTGTGGTAGCACCCTCATCATTTATTCCAGGGTCACTAACTCACTACAGTAACCCACACTAGGGCTGGGCGATATCTCATTCCAAAATCATGGGCATTAATATGGAGATGGTCCCCCCTTTGCTGCTATAACAGCCTCCACTCTTCTGGGAACACTTTCCACTAGATGTTGGAACATTGCTTCGGGGACTTCCATTCAGCCACAAGAGCATTAGTGAGATCGGGCACCGATGTTGGGCGATTAGGCCTGGCTCACAGTTGTCGTTCCAATTCATCCCAAAGGTGTTCGATGTGGTTGAGGTCAGGACAGTCAAGTTCTTCCACACCGATCTCGACAAACCATTTCTGTATGGACCTCGCTTTGTGCACGGGGGCATTGTCATGCTGAAACAGGAAAGGGCCTTCCCCAAACTGTTGCCATAAAGTTGGAAGCACAGAATCATCTAGAATGTCATTGTATGCTGTAGAGTTAAGATTTCCCTTCACTGGAACAAAGGGGCCTAGCCCGAACCATGAAAAACAGCCCCAGACCATTATTCCTCCTCCACCAAACTTTATAGTTGGCACTATGCATTTGGGCAGGTAGCCTTCTCCTGGCATCCGCCAAACCCAGATTTGTCCGTCGGACTGCCAGATTGTGAAGTATGATTCATCACTCCAGAGAACGCGTTTCCACTGCTCCAGAGTCCAATGGCGGCTATCTTTACAACACCCCAGCCGACGCTTGACATTGTGCAGGGTGATCTTATGTTTGTGTGCGGCTGCTCGGCCATGGAAACCCATTTCATGAAGCTCCCGATTAACAGTTCTTGTGCCGACGTTGCTTCCATGGCCGAACTTGGTAGTGAGTGTTGCAACTGACAGACAATATTTACGCTCTACGCGCTTCAGCACCTGGAGGTCCCGTTCTGTGAGCTTGTGTGGCCTACAATTTCGCGGCTAAGCCGTTGTTGCTCCTAGAAGTTTCCACTTCACAATAACAGCACTTCGAGTTGACCAGGGCAGCTCTAACTGGGCAGAAATTTGAGGAACTGACTTGTTGGAAAGGTGGCATTCTATGACGGTGCCACGTTGAAAGTCACTTAGCTCTTCAGTAAGACCATTCTACTGCCAATGTTTGTCTACGGAGATTGCATGGCTGTGTGCTCGATTTTATACACCTGTCAGCAAGGGGTGTGGCTGAAATAGCCGAATCCACTAATTTGAAGAGGTGTCAACATACTTTTGCATATATAGCGTATCATATCACAGTTAATTTTTTTCTATGTTGAAGGTATGATGGCATTTTATGTTTTTGAATAATACAAATTCTATATTGTCTTTATGAGTAGTGCGTGACCCTAGATGATTTCAATGGGTCTTTCTCCATTCTGATTGTTTTATACGGTTTATTAAACAAAAAATAATTTCCTGCATATCCATGTAGGGCTGCACGATATGGGCAAAAAACACTAGGCCTTATTTTTAACCAAATGTTGCAATTGTCATTTGACTTGCGAATTAGATCAAAACACTTGGAATCATGGAAATATATTGTTTATTCTAATTCTATAATTAGAATATAAATATTATTGGCCACTTTGAATACAGTGTTGTTTGACATGACAACGAATGAAAACACCAGGGAGGAGTTATTGTGACTGGGTAGGAACCAAAGTGATGGTCAGTGTTTCCTAGGGGACCCCATCATCTTTGGCAACATTCAATGTTTCTTCATGTAGCTAACATATTCATGCTTTGCCTATTCCTCTTTGATTTAGAAGATACTGTTGCACAAACAATATGCATATTTAGGCCTACACCAAAACTCATATCAGGTTGTACTAGCCAGCTAAATTTGCTCTGACTCAGTACATTTATTAACTAGCTAGCTAGCTAGCCAGCTAACTAGCGATTAGCATTAGCGGCTAACACGATTTAGCTAAAACTTGCTAAGAAAAGACAAACTAGCTGTTTGCAGATGTAAGAAACACAAACTAATAGTGTAATTAATTATAGAACGCTTGTGGATGTATTATTAAGAAGCAAAGTGGAAACATCGTTGTCATTAATATTGTTGCATGTGCTGCATTTACCATGCAGACTTAACACAAGTGTCTCATGGCCAAGCAACAACAAATGTGCTCCTTGAGTGACAGGTGGTGGGGCTAGGTCTGAGGAAAACGGAATTGAGAGAGAAAGGGTGGAGTGGGATGACTCAAGTAGCGGTGTAAACAATAGAAATTGACGTTACACACGGCATATCACAAACCAAACATTCAAATACCATTATAGAAGGTAAAGTAAAAACTCAAACCGGTCTATGCAGCAATGCTGGTATATAGTAAAATACGGTATACCGCCCAGCCCTAAACCACACTGTAACCAACATTGGTTTCCTCATTAATGGAGCTGGTGTAATTACCAGAGATTTACAGACGATGCGCAGCCACCCATTACTACAACCACCCAGCAGCCTCACACCACAGGAGAGGGCTGTGTTGAAGTACTCTCTCTATGTCAAGCCTCTCTCACATACACAGGCACAGTACACGCAGTCACACACACACACACCTCCACCCCCACCCCCAAACACAGCTCTGTAGTAGCTGCTATGCCCCTCCTACTCATAAGTCAATAGGCCCAGTTTGGAAACACTTTAAACATACTTGCACATCGCTCTTCTCTCTCGTAACAAACAGGGGGAAACTTCAAGACATGGTTTCCAGCACCATACCCCCGCAGGGTTAATTAGGATTGTTTTAAACAGCCACCGCCATGCTTTTTAAACATTTATGGGCACATGCATTACAACAAGGACATTAACATATCCAGAAAGTTTTACCTCTACTCTGTTCCCCCATCCAACATAAGGGGGGGGGGAGAGAGAGAGAGAGAGAGAGAGAGAGAGAGAGAGAGAGAGAGAGAGAGAGAGAGAGAGAGAGAGAGAGAGAGAGATACAGGCAGAGAGAGAGAGAGAGAGATACAGGCAGAGAGAGAGAGAGAGAGACACAGAGAGAGACACAGAGAGAGACACAGAGAGAGAGAGAGAGAGAGAGACACAGAGAGAGAGAGAGAGAGAGACACAGAGAGAGAGAGAGAGACACACAAACACAGAGAGAGAGAGAGAGCGAGAGCGGAGAGAGAGCGAAGGAGAGAGAGGAGAGAGAGAGAGACAGAGAGAGGGAGGGAAGGTTGACCTCTGCTGCCCCCTCTGTTACAGCCTAGTAATGACAGGGGATATCATTTGACATTTTGACATTTTAGTCATTTAGCAGACGCTCTTATCCAGAGCGACTTACAGTTAATCATATCATCTAGCCCAACAGCACCCAACACAACAGCATCTGATCTGAGCCCTACTGACAAACTGACAGAATAAGAATCAGCATGGAGCTGGATAGAGGGAGTCACACAGACACACAGGTGCTTTTGTCACAGAACATGCACACATCACACATACATGTACAGTGGGGAAAAAAAGTATTTAGTCAGCCACCAATTGTGCAAGTTCTCCCACTTAAAAAGATGAGAGAGGCCTGTAATTTTCATCATAGGTACACGTCAACTATGACAGACAAAATGAGAATAAAAAAAATCCAGAAAATCACATTGTAGGATTTTTAATGAATTTATTTGCAAATTATGGTGGAAAATAAGTATTTGGTCAATAGCAAAAGTTTCTCAATACTTTGTTATATACCCTTTGTTCGCAATGACACAGGTCAAACGTTTTCTGTAAGTCTTCACAAGGTTTTCACACACTGTTGCTGGTATTTTGGCCCATTCCTCCATGCAGATCTCCTCTAGAGCAGTGATGTTTTGGGGCTGTCGCTGGGCAACACAGACTTTCAACTCCCTCCAAAGATTTTCTATGGGGTTGAGATCTGGAGACTGGCTAGGCCACTCCAGGACCTTGAAATGCTTCTTACGAAGCCACTCCTTCGTTGCCCGGGCGGTGTGTTTGGGATCATTGTCATGCTGAAAGACCCAGCCACGTTTCATCTTCAATGCCCTTGCTGATGGAAGGAGGTTTTCACTCAAAATCTCACGATACATGGCCCCATTCATTCTTTCCTTTACACGGATCAGTCGTCCTGGTCCCTTTGCAGAAAAACAGCCCCAAAGCATGATGTTTCCACCCCCATGCTTCACAGTAGGTATGGTGTTCTTTGGATGCAACTCAGCATTCTTTGTCCTCCAAACACGACGAGTTGAGTTTTTACCAAAAAGTTATATTTTGGTTTCATCTGACCATATGACATTCTCCCAATCCTCTTCTGGATCATCCAAATGCACTCTAGCAAACGTCAGACGGGCCTGGACATGTACTGGCTTAAGCAGGGGGACACGTCTGGCACTGCAGGATTTGAGTCCCTGGCGGCGTAGTGTGTTACTGATGGTAGGCTTTGTTACTTTGGTCCCAGCTCTCTGCAGGTCATTCACTAGGTCCCCCCGTGTGGTTCTGGGATTTTTGCTCACCGTTCTTGTGATCATTTTGACCCCACGGGGTGAGATCTTGCGTGGAGCCCCAGATCGAGGGAGATTATCAGTGGTCTTGTATGTCTTCCATTTCCTAATAATTGCTCCCACAGTTGGTTTCTTCAAACCAAGCTGCTTACTTATTGCAGATTCAGTCTTCCAAGCCTGGTGCAGGTCTACAATTTTGTTTCTGGTGTCCTTTGACAGCTCTTTGGTCTTGGCCATAGTGGAGTTTGAAGTGTGACTGTTTGAGGTTGTGGACAGGTGTCTTTTATACTGATAAGTTCAAACAGGTGCCATTAATACAGGTAACGAGTGGAGGACAGAGGAGCCTCTAAAAGAAGAGGTTACAGGTCTGTGAGAGCCAGAAATCTTGCTTGTTTGTAGGTGACCAAATACTTATTTTCCACCATAATTTGCAAATAAATTCATTAAAAATCCTACAATGTGATTTTCTGGATTTTTTTTCTCAATTTGTCTGTCATAGTTGACGTGTACCTATGATGAAAATTACAGGCCTCTCATCTTTTTAAGTGGGAGAACTTGCACAATTGGTGGCTGACTAAATACTTTTTTCCCCCACTGTATCAGTTAGAGCCAGGCGTTTTTCCTAATAATTTGACCTGACCAGGAAAAACTCTGAGCCCTAGTTATAGCCCATTAATATGGTTTCCACTAGTTTCCACAGCCACAAAGTTAAAATAGGCTAAATCGTAACTCCTTTTGGTCTCAATTTAAGGTTAGGATTAGGAATAAGGTTAGCAGTGTGGTTAGGGTTAGCGAAGAGAAATTGTAGCAATAGACAGGGTTTATGACTTTGTGACTGTGGTAACTAGTGATGACCGATCACTAGGACTCAGAGGTTTTCCTGGTCAGGTCACATTGTTTCAGCTCATTTGATCTTGTTCTTGATACCATTTCTTGTTTTGAGGTGTTTTGACTGATGTCACATCTATGCTAATATGGCTAAAATTTGCTAGCTAGATAGCTAACCAACAACCATAACAATGTATTTGAGAGACAAGTTCTCATTGTGCAACTTTATTTATGTTTTCAATAAACATTGGAGACAAAATATAGTTTACATGTTATCAACAATCTAAGCCAACCCGTCTGTTTTGCCCCATAGTTGCGCACAAGTCGGTTTTGTTGCTAAACAACCAACCAGTCTATAGAGATACAGGTAACTGCCAAAATAAAGGAAACAGTAACAGTGTCTTAATAGGGCGTTGGGCCAACATGAGCTGCCAGAACAGCTTCAATGCGCCTTGACACCATTCTACACGGAGAAATTCCATCATTTGGTATTTTGTTGATGGTGTTGGAAAACGCTGTCTCAGGCGCCACTCCAGAATCTCCTATAAATTGTTCAGTTGGGTTGAGATCTGGTGACAGACACACACCCTTTAAACCCCTATGCTCCTTTGAGACCCCTCTTTCAAAGTCACTGAGATCTCTTCTTCTAGCCATGGTACTCAAAATAATGGGCAACTGGGCATTTTTATACATGACCCTAAGCATGATGGGATGTTAATTGCATAATTAACTCAGAAACCGCACCTGTTTTCAATATACCTTGAATCCCTCATTCACCTTATTTCCTTTATTTTGGCAGTTACCTGTATCTCTATGTTATGTTAACTTGTGTCCTACCTCACAGAAGAGAGTGAGCTTGTCGTCAGGCAGCAGCCCATTGGCCTCGTCCAGCAGGAAGTCTCTCCTGATGAACTTCTTAAAGCCCCAGTCCTTCCCCTGGACAAACCGGTACGCCCTCTGGCTCTCTGTAAAGGGGAACAACACACAGACAGTTAGTGCATGTGTGTGTGTGTGTCATGACCATGAGAAAGGAGAGAGAGAAAGTGAGCACAGCCCGACAAGACAGGAGGTTGAATGAAGGAAGTGTCACCTGCAGGGGACTTTTAACACCTCATAAGAAAACGATGCCACACATTTTTTACACACTCTCTCATCTCTGGCACGCACTCACGCACACAAGCACGATAAGCAGGTGGGATAAGCAGGGATCAAAGCCTCCCATTATAATGTGCTTATGGACTGCAAGTATGTCTGACTGAGGAAAGGCAGGGAGGGTTCTGGGCACTACAAACACACAGGAGAAATGCCTTCATCCGGTCCTTCACCAGGAATACTTACACACACTGGCTGCGTCCAGAATGGCACCCCTTTCCCCATATAGTGTACTACAAATGTAGTGCACTATGTAGGGAATAGGGTGCCATTTGGGACACAAACACTGAGGACATACTCACCGTACATATCACAATGACTAGAGTCAAAGACGTTGCTGTACCATGGTGGTTCTGGTGGCCCAGTTGGTAAGAGTGTAATGCTAACAATGCCAAGGTCATGGGTTCAAGTCCCTCAGGGATCACTTACTACAAATATAATGGCCTCACTTTACTGTAAGTGGCTTTGGATCAAAGCGTCTGCCAAGTCAGATCACAATGAATTCCCTGCTCAGAGATTTTACTCCTCCAAGACCCTCTCAAAGACCTCCAATGAAACTTCACATAAATATCTCGTCATGTATAGTATGACAGGATCCTAAGAAGCTCCTGTAGGGCATGTATCTCCTGCAGTATAGGATGAGGGTCCCTGGGGCCTAAAGAACCACACTCACACCAGGCCGATTGTCGATCTGCCGTTCGTCTGCCGCTCGTTTGGGGTGGTGTGTTTTAGGGACCACCCACTGATGGACGTCTGGCTGCAGACTTATTCGCGCGATTCTACATGAATAATCGGTTTGCCGGCACTCTGTTCAGAGGTGCAAAGTACCATCGGCCAGCAAACGCTGCTGGTGTGTCCAAGCCTTAAGAGATCTCCTGCCAGATTCCAGTGGGAGTCATTCAGATGGGGTAACAGCTCTGCTGTAAGCTCTATGTCAAATCCACCAGCAGCGGTATGATGCAGTGGTGGGTACAGCAGCCAACCAGGCAGGCAAGCAGGGGCTGTATCCCAAATGGCACCCTATTCCGTTTATAGTGCACTATATTGACCAGAGCCCTATGGGTTATATGGAATAGGGAATATGCTGCCATTTTGGACGCATGCAGGCAGTGATGGTGTTGAGTGGATATGCAGTTCTCCAGTTCTCCACCCCAGTGCTCAATCAGGGAGTCCTCCCCCTCTAATCCCCCCTCTGGAGACGGGCTCCAAACAGGCCCTGACAGCCACCCCCTCTCAGACTGACAGAAATCCAAACACTCCAAAGGCTCTTTTCTCTCCTCTTCTTTATTCATCGTCACTCTCCTCTTTTCCTCTCTGCATAACAGGAACTGATGTCAGAAGTGTTTCATTTAAAGGCTTTGTGTCAGTCTCTCACTCTCTCTCATCTGAAACCTGTGTTGTTGAAAGCCACGTCAAACTTCGGTGGTCATGACATGCCAAGTAGTGTATGGTTGGATACACACAAACACACAGCGCAAAAGCACTGCATCTTTGCCTCATCCTCGTCTGCCTGTTTGTCTCAAACCTTTCTGTCTGCCTTTTTTCTATTTCCTTTCTTTTCCGCCTTTCTGAAATGCGAGAGAGACTCAGGCATGGTCCCCTGGCCAGCAGCTCCTCTCCCTGTGTGGTGGTGGGATTGTTCTCAGTGTTATCAGGGTATATGGAAGAAGACCAGCAACCTGTGACAACTTCCTACTGGGTTGGGTCTCAGCCTAAACTGAGGTGTGAGGACAGTGGGAGGAGAGAGAGAAGGCTAGCTGGGAAGAGGAAGGGAGAGAACGGGAGCACAGAGAACGGAGGAGAAAGGGTGAGAGGAGTCCTACAGCAGGAAGAGGGAGAGAGGTGAGATTTCCCCTCCACTGCTCACTGCTAAGTCCCTGCTCACTCTCCACACTAAGGTGTATGTCTGTGTGCAGGTGTGTGTGTGCCTGTGCGTGTGTGTGTGTGTGTGTGTATTAAGCTGAGCTCAGCTGACCCTGCAGCCTCCACTGGGTCTCCTGAGCAGGACCAGAACCTCACCCTGGCAGGGGATCAACCGCAGGTCAGACCGCATGTGGTCACGGTCGGGTCACAGCAGGCTGGGGCCACCGAGTCAGGAGGGGAGGAACACACCAGGAATAACAAATAGGAGAAGAGGAGGGGGGTGAGTGAGAAGAATAGATATGGAAGCCTGTCACTCAAACAGTGCAGGCAGAGGGGTAGCATGTGAGTTGAAATATGTAGATGGATGGAAAGAAATGCTGATTTAAAAATGGGAAGGGAGAGAGACACCGGGACAGAGTTTCAGAGAGGAGAACGGAAAGATGGAGTCAGAGCGAGCGAGAGAGGAGTGCCAGGGTGTTTTAGAGAGCATGGCATACATATTCAGGCTGTGGCTCAGGGGCCTGGTTGGCACACACAGTGAGAAGGTCGCCCAGAACACTGGCTGGCAAACATCACACACACTCTGGGCCAACAGCGGAGCACTCCTCAATAGTGGGGGTCACACCAAGAGATTGTGTGTGTGTGGGCATGACAGAGAAAGTGTGGGTAATGTACAGTATGTACATTAGTTCAAAACACAATTCTAATCCCTCCCTCCGTGGGCGATCATCTGTTCTCCGTAAGGAGGTTTAGAGAATCCCAAAGGAGCCTGGAGATTTTCCCCCATTACACAAACACATTCAAACATTCACACACACTGACCTTGACACACACAACTCCAACCCCATCCTCCCAACCATTACTGCCTACATCCCCATCCCACTTCTTCCCTCCACTTCAATTGCTGTTTTTTAGTCTAAAACCCATTGATTAAATACATTTACGTCATTTAGCAGACGCTCTTATCCAGAGCGACTTACAAATTGCTGCATTCAACTTATGATAGCCAGTGGGACAACCACTTTAAAAAAAATATATATATATATTATTGGGGGGTTGGTGAGGGGGGGGGGGGGGGGGGGGGGGTAGAATGATTACTTTTCTATACTATACACAACACATAGAGTCCAATGTCTAACAGCATGATAGACAATGCTTCAATATATGTAATGGAGTACCTGCATTTGCATCAACCCCCACACTCCTTATACACACACACACACACACACACACACACCTACATAGGCTGACATATAACCAGGAAGGCAGGCACACATGCTTGCTCGCTCACACACACCACAAATACACAGGCAAACATAAACGCACACGAGCACATACACACACACACGCCATTCCCGAAGAAAATCTCATCTCTATTGAAGAATGAGCTCTATAAGCAAGTGTCAGCACAAACATCTGTAACGATGTTCCTTCTAGCCGTGTCGATACTATGTGATTATGTAAAGACTGTCCAATGACTCTTCCATTCTTCCCACAATACAACCACACTGAATGCCTGATCGCCCCCATCAGTTACCGCGAGCAACCAGCTCTGACAACCACAGACAAGCATTCAGACAGAGGTTTCAATCAGCCAGGACACCATCTAGAACTAAAGACAAACCCACTACTCTCTAACCACAACACCACAAACACTGTACTGCCAAATGAGATAGTTATTTTAAAATATACAATGTATGAAGACCTGTGTACACACAGCAAATTAAATTGAACCTGTGACCAAACACACTGGAGACATAACCTCTCCTTAGACCTAAGCACTTAAAAAGCACTACAAAGCCCACTGTCTGAGAGGAACACTAAGCTCTGGGTCATTTGAATAAACCCTAGCCACCACCGCCATATAGCAGGAGACTTCCTCTCCCTCTCTGTTCTCAGAGCAGCAGTGTGTCTGCCAGCAGGCTGTTTTATCTGGCACAGGAGAGAGAGGGGGGGTACCAAGAGACATGTTACAAACCGTTGAACCACACTCCCACAGGAGAGCCAGCTAGCTAGCGCCTTTAAACCAGGAAGAGAAATTATGTGGTGGAGCAGAGAAGAGGCGGATGTTCGGGGGAGAGGAGAGAGAGAGAGAGAGAGAGGTGGGGCGCTGCCAGTGGAGCCCAAATCTATCTCCATTAGCAGGCAGTAACACCCTCAGAGACCAACAGAGGGCCCAGATACATTACTGATTGAGGCTCTCTATTCAGGTGGGGGTGGATGAACAGTATGAGGTTAAAGGTTAAATCCACTGTGAAACGGTTCATGTTTAAGGCAGGAAATTATATATGCACCATCTTTACATGATTCACAATAATCTTTCTAACCATATTTCTAACCACCCATATATCTGTATATTTAGCTATGTATCAAACCAATCTGTACTTGGTCTTAATATCAATTTCAGCGGAGCCCTGTGAGACTGTGTGGAGAGACCCAGCAGTGACATGCCACATAAACAGTCTTCACACTCTGAGCCAGAGCCTTCTTAATTAAGGCACTTTGTTTTTATTTGGCCTGGGTTTTCTTCAGGAGGCCGGGATTAAATTGGATTCTAAATGATCCAGAACCGATAGAGCTATCTTTACTGCCATATTCTCAGACAGAGTGCTCGCTGAAGCCCCTTGTCACGAATACGGTGGCTGCGGGTAATTTTCTCCAGTGACAGGGCGAGCGAAGAGCCCTGTACTCCACAGGAGGCTGAGGGGAAGATGGGGTGCGTCTGGGGGTGGCGGTGGGGGGTGGGGGGGGTTGTACCACCAAAGAACACCATTTACAGCAAACCCCCCAGAGACACGAAGAGGAGAACAGAAGATAATACATTTTCTCCACTTTTCTCACCATTCTCCATCCTTAATCTATTTCAATTGTCATGTGGAGAGGCAGATTCAGGTGAGCTGACCGAGTGAAGGAATGAAACGGCTCCAGGTGGTGTTTACCACCCACTCTGCAGGCTACTGCTGTCCCCCTTAGAGTGGTACAGCGACATGGACACAGCCCACTATGCATTAACTGTACCTTAAGAGCCTCTCAAGTGAGCTTGATGCACAATTACATTAAGAGACACAGGGCCTGTTTCATAACAGTAGTGTTTGTGAACGTGTTGTTGTTGAGAGAGGGTGAAAAAGCACTGCCACCATGAAGATGGAGTGAGAGTGTAGAACAGAGAGAGTGAAAGTGTGTGAGAAAGAGGGAGTGAGGAGTTGAGTTCACGCGGTAGATGTTTCTCAGCAGGAAAACCATTTCCCTTTCTACACGACCTGCACTGCGGGGGGTTGTAAACAGGTCTTGCTGCATACACCTCCGATACAAACATTCCTCCTCTGCCCCTCTCCTCTCCTCCTTCCATACTTCCTGTGCTCGGCGGGGTAACGGAGGAGAGACAACCAACCAGGTAAAGAGCCTGATAACCAGGAAGCGGTCACATCTGGCCCACACTAATTCAATTCCACACAAGTTTGCTTTTCCTCCCCATAACATAACCTAATTAAAAAGAGTAGGCATTGGAAGAAACACGTTTCCTTTCCAATTCATCAGCCAGATAAGCTGATGAATTGGTTATTTTTAAATTAAAATCAAATATTGCCTCACGCTACTTTAAATTAAATATGTGGGGGGGGGGGGGGGGGGGGGACGAATCCCACCTGCAGTGATTATACACACCCATATGGCTATTAACACCTCGGGCCACACACTGAATTAGACACACTTTGGCTCCCTCACCCCCTCCTATACACACACTCACTTAGTAAACCTCAGAGACACCGGTAATAAAGCTCTGAAACTTTCTAACCTTGTTTCCATCGGAAACATGTCTTCCATTTTCTACTGCCAAGCTACATGTTTGGGCTGAGAGGTTCAAGAGTGGATTCTTATAAGTATGTTGTTCTGTTATCACATGACCTCTCTCACACCAGCATAATATCAAGCCAGGTACACTATGGGACTACATTGGCAGAGCACCACTGACCCTATAGAGAGGGTGGGTTGTTGGGGATAAATATTTCCCAAGCCAAAAATGTCTTCACATTCAAGAAAACATTAAAAGTACATCTACTAAGATTGACCATATGACTGGACAGATACTGACCCCTGGATTGACTGTTAAATGTTACCTTTCAGTTATTTTACATGTCTGTAATGTCTACTTGTTAATATTACTTAAATGTATGTAAATTGTAAAGTATTTTGTCTGTAATGCCTTTTTCGTCATGTGTCGGACCCCAGGAAGACTAGCTGTCGTCATGGCGTTAGCTAATGGGGATCCAACTAAACTCAAATCAAGTGCGACTCACCCATGGCCTTAGTCTCCTCTCCCTTGGCGTTGAGGATGGAAAACTTGAACTTGGCGCGCACTTCGCTCTTGGGACAGCTGACCAGGAGCAGGTAGAGGGACAGGTAGTCTTTACTCTCCTCGTCCAGACCTTTAGGGTTTACACGCAAACACCTGGACACACAGAGGGAGGGAACAGCATCAGCATCAGTGATCATCAGACCCAGTCATACAGAGACAAAGTCAGTCAACTATGCTCAGTAACAGTCCAATAGAATAATACCAGTTCAATATACTTAGGAGTTCAAATCAGATCAATCATGGACAAGCTACTGGTCCTGTAGTCCCCTACGGCTTATCCATAGTGCCCACTTCTTGGCCCCGCCTCCACTCACCATTTAAGCTTGTCATTGGCTCCAGAAGAGAAGGTGGAGCTCTTGATGACCTCGCCCATCTCCTCACGACAGAAGCTGAAGTTGTTGATAGTCCACATGTAGGAGAACTTCACCACTTTGATCTAACAGAGGTAGGGGGAGACACACACAAACAGACAGCAGGAATCAGACATAATGGCTTTAATTTATTTATCTATTCCATACAGGTAGCTAAGTGGCTGGTTGGTCAGCCTGGACTTCAAAACCACACATCAAACCTGTCTTTCATCTCAATAAACACTGACAACAAACAGGGGGAGAAGAAAGGATATTAAAAAGCTGCAACAAAAAACGATTTTGCAAGTACAGAGAGAGGAGAGATGATGAAAAAACACATCAATAGAAAACAAAACATCCTTCTTTAAAACAGGCGTGTCAAAAACACCAGCACTGGCAGTCCAGACTGACACACAGGTGCAAGTAAACACAAACATGTACATAGAAAAACAGATACATGTACACACACACACACCCAGCCTTACCTGAGTGTAACACCAGCTCTCAGCAACAGGGCCGCTGGACATGTCCGCGGGGGGAGGGGGACTCGGGACTCTTGACATCGCCAGCGTTGAGGCGGGGGAGGCCTGGGTGGGGCCTGAGCACCAGCCAGGAGGGGGGCAGCGTGGGGGGGGGTGGCTGAGCCCAACAACACCACCGAATGGGCTAAGTATTCAACCAGACCACCTCCACACACAGCACCAGGGTCCAGCCAAGGAGAATGTCTGGGGAACGTCCAGGGAACCCACAGCCACAGGCACCAGCACCCTATAACCTACAACCAGAGAGAGTGGCATTATCATAGGTGTTATAGTCAGTGTGTGTGTGTGCGCTTGCATGCATAGCATACACAGTATTTGTAAAAGGCTAATTGTAATTGAGCCGTTAGTGTAATTGAGCGGTATTGCTCAGTAAGTAGGACAGAACAGCTCTGAATTCATTTGTTTTCAAAGGGCCTCTGCATTCAAAGCACAGCAGTTGTGCACGCTGCTCGCTCACTTGGCTTCAGTGAGAAAAGCCCTCGTTTATCTGCCCGTGTGTCTGCCTTTCTTTTGCTTTGAGCGGAGCGCCAGCCAGCCAGCTGATCTGTCGCCGTGTGCCGTGGCAGAGAGTGAAGAGCAAGGCTTAAGACTTTCATCCCACGCCTACCTGCCAATCTCCACTCACTCAAGTAGCCTACACAAGGTCAGATAAAACTTTCAAAGACCACATTGACTAGGGAAGGTCATAGCTTATTCCAAAATGTGCAAACTTCTCCCAATCTCTGTGTGTGCACAAGTTATTCACTCTGTTTTTCAAGGTAAATGTGTGGATACAGCCACAATAGAAAAACAGCATTGACTTCAGCTGAACCACAGATCTACAATCTATGTAGAGAGAGAACTGTGACTTTATCCAATTACTTCTCTTCAATATCACCTTTACAGAACCACAGAAGACCCCTGGGAATAGAAGAAGAATGTGTTCTTAATTGACTTGCCTGGTTAATAAAGGTTTAATAAAATCAACAAATGATCTTCTGTTCACTTTTCTCTAATTTCTCCCCTGCCCCTTTCTCTCTTTTCTCACTCATCCTGCATGTCAAATTGAAGCTATCACGGGGTCTCAGGGCAAAGTCTCCTCTTTTCTCTCTTTTCTCAGTCAACCTGCAAGTCCCCCTGTCTCGCAGCCAGACGATCCCTTCGCTTTGCTTCTTAATTAGTGGCTGATTGAAAGGGAAGTTCAGGACCTGGAGAACTTCCCAGAAACTGTGTGTGTGTGTGTGTGTGTGTGTGTGTGTGTGTGTGTGTGTGTGAAAGAGAGAGAGAGAAAGGAAGAGGGAATTAAATAAGAAAAGGGCAATGGGGTGTGGGGGGGGGGGGGCGACAGACCTCCACGGATGCAGACAGGACTTTATGAATGTTTAGAGATAACTTTCAGTTGGATCTGATCTTCACTGCCCTCCCCCTGTTTCTTCTTTTGTATCTGATGAAAAACACTGGTGCCATTATTGCTCAGTAAAACAATACAATATTAATCAATCAATCACAAAAGATGGAGAACAAGGCGCCACTGATTTGCAATTTAAATTACCTGAGACTTCCTAACAATGAATTATAGTCTGTGTGAATGAACTAGTGTGTGTTGATGTGTGTTACAAATATGTAGCGTAAGTGCACAAATGCATGCACACATGCAAACTGCTGTTTGACGGAGTGTGCGCGTTGCGTGGGTGCATAAATGTGTGCATGTGTGTCCCCGTATGTTTCCTTAAGCTGTGTGTTCTCTCTTGTCTCTGTATAGGCTACTGTCTCCCAACGTGTGTGCTGCCAACAGCTATCACGAGGGAACCACTTTAAGAAAACATGACAATACTGGCAGTGTCGCTAACAACTTCACAGCTTTTCTAAATACACCCAGATGACACTTAACCAGAATAAAGCTGGGGATTGATTCATTGAGCAGCAGAAAAATGACAGTAACAACTCAGAGATAGTGGGGTGTGTGTGTGTGTGTGTGTGTGTGTGTGTGTGTGGTAATCCTTGTACTCCCTCACTAAAAGGTATTGAGACAGTTCATTCATCATGGTGATTCAGCTGGTGACAGTCAGCACCAATGGACAGTAGGACTAACCGGGGCTAACACACACAGCAGGGGGAAATAAATATGGTCACAACAGCAGTACGTCAGAGAGAGTTAAGGAGATTGTGTGGATTGTGTGCTCCCCCGAAAACAATCACTAGACAAAGTATGAGGTAAGGATGGCACCGGTGTGTAACAGATAAAGTCAGTGTGTTGTGTGTGATCCCACGGGTTGTGTATATGTGCGTATGCGTGATTGCCTACCGCCCACATTTCAGTTCCCTATCACATCCTAGTCTGCTGCTGTGGGGACTGACAGGATGAGGGAGAAAGGACGCCTGGAGCACATTTATATTCACTACATAGACAGGCCTCTCGCACTCTGACAGTCCAGTCTTCATCTCACTCCCATTTCAGTCTTCACCTCACTCCACATCTCACTCCCACCACGGTCTACATCTCACTCCCACCACGGTCTTCATCACACCACTAAGAGGTGCATGCGTTACTGAAACATTGACATATGGACAACAGTTCCCAGGAAACCAAGGAGCTGAATGATGTCATGTCCTCCCCATCCCTCCCATTAGAAACAGAAGATAGGGATGCAGAGGAGGTTGTTGAGACATGGAGAGCCTGGGGCGATATTAATGTTTCTCAGGCATCTCAGGTGAGTTCAGTTAGCCTAACTGACAGTTGGGGCATCCCACCCACCTCAAGTGGTTCTCTTTCTCTCTAGAACGGTCCAGTGGGGGTTTAGTCTACTCATATTTATGGCAGACCAGCCATGATTCCAATCTATAAGCATTCAGAACGACGCTCCATTCTCTCTCTCCTAGACATGATATACAGCTGGACAGTAGCTTGGAGAGAGCCTGCAGATTAAACAGTCCACTTCTTAATAACCACAACATACACTATTTTGAGAAACATAAATAAAATCGACCCACATGAACAAAGCCCTGGGTATATGTTGAACATTTGTAGACACACATAATCCTACACTAGTGCAAGTGTAGTCAATTTGTGTAGTGACAAGCGCAGGAGTGGGCAACATACGGCTCTAGTACCGAATCCGTCCTGCAAGCTCATTCAATCCGGCCTGGGGGAGGTTTGAGTTATTTTTTATTATTATTTGGGGTGGGGGTAAAAAAACAAACACTCCAGGCCACTCTTGAACATCTAATACTAGATAGAATGTACGTAGAAATGATAACGGACCTATATGTTTTCAAATAAATGTCTCTGGTCCGCAAATTGCTTTTGACGAACAAATCAGTCCGGAAAAAAATCTGTGCCTCCCTCCGCTGAATTTTGAAATCCCGGGGTGGCCCTCAAGCCAAAATGATTCCCCACCCCTGGACTAGTGAGTATCTAAATCCATCCATATAGAATAGTTAAATATAGCCTGAACAACATATGGCAGGGACTTAAAGACGCCAGGCCTGCTGTGAAATAGGAGGTCCTGCTGGATGACAAGAGAAGAAGAGGATGGAACCCCTTCTAGAATTCATTACAGCTGGCTACTGCTCTACTCAGAAGAAGAAAAAACATTCATTATGAAAAATACAACATTACACACGTAACGGCTATCCATTTAAATTCCCTTTCACTTGCAACATGAAAGAGAAACATCAAATACACGGCACCACCCACCAGCCTCTCCCTCCGGGCCCACTTCCTGCTGGGATGAGAAGACACACGCTAGCTAGCGCCGTGCAGCCAGACACCGCCACCACCTGGCCAGGGGGATGACGTGCAGCCACATATCAAAATACTTACATTCTCGTTACCATATTTTAACATCGCCCCCCTTCTCCCCCACCCCTTCCTTCCCTCCAGCTCTGGCGAGACATCTGACAGAGGGTTAAAGAAGTCTGCTAATTATAAGGTCAGGTTGAATTAAAAGCGGCTAGGTTGGTAGAGCGATGAAAGGGAGCGTATTAAAGCAGTGTGTACAGACCAGACCAGACCGATCAGCTGAAGGCTCTGACCCCATTTGAAAAACACACACGGTACTGACTGAAGGTTCCACACCAATTAGACATACCGACCAGTCATAACTGATCGCTGAAACACTCTGCTATTAGAGTATGTATAATTTCATCTGCAGGCTAGCAGGCTGCTGTGTGGTGAGCAATAGAAGTGGGATCTTAGCTCTGATATGATCTAGGAGTCTCACTGAGTCTGGGATATAATCTGCTCAAACATCAGTGGGGGTCAAAGGAACAGGAAGAGGTGACATACAGGGAAGAGTAAAGGGATAACTTGATTTCCAGATACAGGAATCAAAGATAAGGTAAGAGTAACAGGCTAAGGTAAGAGAGATTGGAGAGAGGATAATGCATTTTGATGGTTACAGTAAATAAAAGACAGGAAGAGATACTGGCCTTAACGGCAAGAGAATACAAAATATATTGAGCGCAGTTACAGGTAGGCTTGACAGTCGGAAGAGTAACGTACAGCACCTGTCTGACAGACATGTCCAGCTCTGACAAAAAGAGGTGGTGGTCGTGGTGTATTTAAACTGAGCTGTGTCTGTCCAGCCAGCTCAGCACAGAGCAGCCCTGATACCCCAGACACAAAGACCAGAGGCAAGGAGAGCAGAGCAGAGGTGAGCACACACGTGTGACAGGGCTGAGCATGACCTCATCATGGAGCAGTGCGGCGCGGTGGCGAGCTGGGAACACACTGGAGTGTGTCAGAGCCAGGGCTGCAGAGCTGCAGGCAGGACCAGGGGGCGTGATGGATTAAGAGCCGCTCACAGAGACAAAAGCCCTATGTGAGCCGTGGAGAAAGCCCTAATGACACTACATCACTATCTGGCTCCATATCACTGACTCTCAACCCAGCGATCTCCAACCTTCGCTCAGTATACCTCCACCTCATCCCCCTTTCTCCTCTGGCATTCTATAGCCCCCAGAAGGCTGCCATAGCATTAAACCTACATCTCACACTCTCCCCTTCTTTGGCTCTATCACGTCTTATATCACAACCCTCTCCCCTCCCTGCTTCCCCTCAGAGCTGGCCAGCTGCCGTGTGGCTCAGTCCCCTCTCATTAAAGCAAGGCTTCAGACCTGTGACATCTGTACTCTCATTAAGTCACAGATCTGAAGCCTTGCTATCTGTACTCTCATTAAGTCACAGATCTGAAGCCTTGCTGGCAGTTTGTCCTTTCACACAGTTCCAGTAGGATCAATTAGAGCTACACTCACAACAGAACACCTCTGAAGCAAAGACACACACACATACAAAGCCCTAACTGTGTGCAATTGTAAGGGCAGACAAATATACACAGATGTAAGCTCACACACACAGTCACAAACCCCACATATAAGTATAACTTTTTCCAACATGACAGGATTCCCTGACAAAGACAAATGGTTGTGAGCTTTAGAGGCCCTTAACGCGCCAACCTTCTCCCGATTAAAGATGACAGTGGCCATAGAAGGGCTCTGACCAGACATAACTCTAGACCGTAGCTATATATCCATCTCGTCCACATTCAGTTGCCAGGAGGGATTGTGTATAAACCAACAAACTGCAGAGCTAAGAGTAATGCTGCTTTAACCTTTGCCTGCTGTTTTCCTCCTCCACCTATTTATTTTTCTACCCTAAAGAAATACTTGGAGTTAAGAGTTCTTCTAACCTATGAAGCGAGCAAAGC